GGCCCCTAATTCCTTAACTGTTGGTACCATAACCCCCAAAATCAATCCCAACCTTCCTTTCGTGGTATTGAACCTTATGGTAAAATTTCATGGAGATCCATTCACTTAAACTAAAGTTAGAGTGCGAAAACCAATGTGTCTTCGGACGACGCCGGACGACGCCAGACGACGACGACGACGACGACGACGACAACGTCATACCAATATACGACCAAAAAATTTTCAATTTTTGCGGTCGTATAAAAAGTAAGGAAAGATTACCAAAAGGAAGTGTGGGGTTTATGTCAAACAATAAATAAGAGTACACACACTGAAATATCTCGCCTGGTTCATTGATCTTGATTGAATTGTATGTTGAAAGTCTTTAAGATTAAGTTTGTTATTTTTCATAGTCGTGGTATCACATAAACTTATCGTTTTCAATGATCCATGCAAATGAGGTCATAGTCAGATAAACTCTGCCATGGAGAAATGTACACCTTACAATCATTACATACACCACATTATATATTTGACCTTTTGCTTATACCATGTAGATCCATGTAGTATTTGAGAAACTGATCTATAAACCAAGAAAACTTAATGTTGACCATTCGAACCATGCCAATGAGGTCAAGGTCTGATGATTCCTTTTGACAGACATGTACATTATTCCACACACCAAATAAAGTTCACCTATTGCTCACATTATCTTAGAACATTGACCAATGAACCATGAAAAGTATGTCAATGTCAGATGAACCCTGCAAGAGTGACAATTATTCCATACACAAATACTTGACCTTTTGTTTATAGAATATGAATAAACAGCTGCGTCATGAGCGCATGATACGCCCGTCGTCTTGTGTGTGAATTTTTATGCAATAAGCATAAATAGTTTCTGACATACGGCGTGACAAGCGAAAACCCCCCCCTTTTTTTTTACAAAAAACTCAATATCTCTAAAATAAAATTTTGAATCAAAACCATAAAGTATACAGATCTTTAGATTAATATAACTACGAAGTGTGCAAAATTTTAAGCAATAATCATAAATCGTTTTTGAGATAAGGCGCGACATGAGAAAACCCCCCTTTTAAAAAAAAAAATCAATATCTCAAAAATAAAATTTTGAATCAAAACCAAAAAGTATACAGGTCTTTAGATTAATATAACTAAGAAGTGTGTAAAATTTTAAGCAATAATCATAAATCGTTTTTGAGATACGGTGCGACATGTGAAAAACCCCTCCCCCTTTTTTTACAAAATACTCAATAACTCAAAAATAAAATTTTGAATCATCACCAAAAAGTATACAGATCTTAAGGTTAATATAACTAAGAAGTGTGTAAAGTTTTAAGCAATAATCATAATTTGTTTTTGAGATACAGCGCAACATGTGAAAAAAAACACACACCTGTTTTAGTTACTAAGTCCCGTAACTCAAAAAGTTTTAATCTTATTTTCACCAAAAAGTATACAGATCATTTGACTATCATAAGAAACAACTATGTTAAGTTTCATGAAATTTGGATAAGTCATTCTCAAGTTACGGTGCGACATGTTTACGCCGGACAGACAGACGGACAGACAGACGGACGGACAGACAGACAGATGGACGGACGGACACCGGACATTTCTATACCATAATACGTCCCGTCAAAAATTGACCGGCGTATAAAAACTGACTTTACTACAACAACTTAAGTTTGATCAGATCCATGAAATGATGTCAAGTCAGGTGAACCCTGTCTGAACTTGAAGGACATGATTAAGCTTTAACCATGCAATTATTCTATATACCAAATATAGTTGTCCTATTTCTCATTTCAACTGACAAAAAAAACCATTAAAATACATGAGTTATTCAAGTTATAAAGTAAGGAGATGTGGAAAGATTGCCAGTGACAAACATTTGAACAATAACAGGTCACTGTAGAGCCCATAACAATAAGCTGAATGTTTATTTTAAGTAATAGCAACCACATTGGTTGATTGACAGTAGCCTCCTATTTAAACATAAACTAAACATAATTCAGATAAATGTGAGCAAGTTAGGATAGAATTGTCTGAGTTGTTCAGAGAAAAGATAAATTTTATAGACAATGTATGCCAAGTGATGGCAATCGCAAAGTACCTTGCTATGTGGGCCAATTTAACCAAGAAAGTGTGCATATTGTATGTATACAACATGAATTAAATACTGTTGAATAATGAGAATGTGATGAGATATTATTATAGAAGACACAAAAGACTGGAAACTAATTTCAAATTAACAGAATACAATCCATCAAATAAAACTCATAAGATTCAAATAATCCAAGAGGCTGGTTTTAAAATTTTCATAAAATTGAGAATGGAAATGGGGAATATGTCAAAGAGACAACAACCCGACCAAAGAGCAAATAACAGCCGAAGGCCACCAATGGGTCTTCAACGCAGCAAGAAAATCTCGCACCCGGAGGTGGTCCTCATCCCTATATATGAAAAAAATTTCACTCCAGTAAATATATATACTGTTAGAAAATTGGTATAAGATGGTATAAGAGCAGCAGTTCTTTTCACACACATAAAAATCTTTTTTAAATCCTTTATTAATCATAAAATGTTTTGCCAAAATGAGCCACAGATGTGTTACAAGAAAAAATATTTTGCTAATACAAGTTATGCTGCTTATCAGCAAAATTTTCTTTGGTAAAAACAACTAATTAGTAAATCAGAATATTGACGATGCTAAACGAAATCAATATATTTAACCTAAGGCATTCCTGATATTTATGCTTCAAACAGGTGCTGATAGAATCTACAGTATAACTAATAACCAGAAGTTAATAAGGCTCCAATAGACAAATTATTACAATTTTCTTGCCAATTTCTGACCCTCAATGATAATGTTATCATATAAAAAATTATCAAGCATTTAAATTAACCTATAGATTGTTTTTTGAAGTGAGAAGTCAACAGAATTCTTTATCATTGTAAGGAGATACAAGCAATTCATTCATTTTTGACAAATTATTACAACTTTCCTGCCAATTGCTGACCGTTATTGATAATGTTATCATATAAGAAAATATCAAGCATTTAAATTAACCTATAGATTGCTTTTTGAAGTGAGAAGTCAACAGCTATCTAGATCATTGTATGGAGATACAAGCAGCTCATTAATTTTTTTCAAATGATTTTCAGGCACTAGATTGAAACTGGGCAATAGACAAGATAATAAGTAACGACCAACACAGACCTTTTTAACAAATTCAAGGTTTCTCCAGAGGAAAAATCATTTTATAATCTGTATTGTACAGGGAAAGATCCAAGGAATTCGAGGAAAGTGGAGCATAATTGTACAATAATTGTAAAAATAGTGCGGAGTCCTTCAAACTCCAACCTGAATTGGCCACTTTTGTATTGCTATCTGCTTATTGTTGAATATATAAGTAAGGAGACATGGTATGATTGTCAATGAGAAAACTATCCACAGATACCAAATAGTGCAAGCAACTATGGGTCACTGTACAGCCTTCCATTTCATAAGAACACAATCTCAGTCTTAACGAAATTTGCAAAGAAGTTTTCCTATGCAGTGTATTATCAGGTAATATTTGGTCACACCAGTCCTGTCGTATAGGAAAGAATTAAATAGATTCCTCTACTTTGATGTTAATTTTATCATGGGGTATGCTGCATCTGCTTAAACCAATGCACAAGGACAGAAGGTAAAATAATTCATCCATATTGGCCTACCATTGGTAAAAATCTTAAAACAACCATGGCTAAAATTGATATACAGATTTACTAAAGGGAAAAGAAAGCCGAATATGACATTTGTAGTCATAAAGACATTGCTAAAATCTGTCAAATAATGAAACAACCATATCAATCTTACAATTTATAGATCTATACCTATATAAATAATCATACAATTTCCATATTATAATTAAAACATGACCCTGTCAAGTAGAATTCAAAGGGATTCATTACCAACCAAAAACAATGTCATTTACATAATGTTATTGTTATATATTACATCAAAAACATTTTTCATTACAAATTATATTGGTACCACCCATCTATGTAATGTATACTAAACTTGTTAATTAGTTTTTTATTTGTTTATTTACAAACAATTTCCTGCGAATTTTGTATTATCTGACATAAAAATGCACTTTGTACTAAAATTTATATTTTTTCTTGTCAATTCGACATTATGATATAGGAGACAGCAACTAGTCAATACATTATCGATAGCAGCTGGTTTAACTTAATAAATACAGATCCAAAATTTAAGACGTCTTTTAGCTGTGTTTGATGGATTTATTGTTGCTTACTTAAAGTCCAATGGCAATGCTATATTTCCGAGCTACTAAAGCATAGGGAATAGTGATAATTGGAATGAATTAATCAATCATTTTAATAGGAGGGGTTAAAAATATAGTTAGTACACTTGATATTTTTATATACTGTACAGCATTGCAGGTTAAAGACATTTTTTACCAGCATGCAAATTGATGGGGGAGCATACTAAAGATCTACCCGGATAATCTGGTACTACTTCTGGTTGTACCATGAAATTTGTTTTCCTTAAAAATTCCTCAACTGTCCAAAAAAAGTGCAACTAATTGCAGCTTTTGCTGATGTTAAATCTTTTCCACCTTATCAGAATATAACTTCCAAAAATCATATTCAAATTGAACATTTCATTCTGAACATGTATATTGGTCATTTATGAGAAAATACACAATACCAGCACAATATATAATGAAAGAAGTTCACAGTTGTTACATTTTGAAGATATCTGCATATTTTCAATAATATACATGTACACACAAAAATATCTAATTTTCATTATACCCATATATGAAAATATCTATATAATCTTTACCCCTGTAGGAAGGCTAGGACACAATTTCAGAATTTTCTTTCATTTTTATATGCTTGTGGTTTGTCTGTCAACATGGAATTTGGTATATCACACATAAATAATATAAATACACAGTACTATGCAAATATGTAAATCCTACCTTCTGTGTAATATGGTCGAAGTTGATTCCTAGTTCTGAAAAAAAATATGTTTCTGTTTGAATCAAGAAAATGACAATACTTTCCTTAATTATGATGTCAAAAATAATTTTAAAATATCTATTGTAGACCCTTTCAATGTAAATTTGAAAATTTGCCCTGTTTTCTTTTTTGAAAATATTGCATTTATTAACCTTTACTGAGTTCACATACTATATTCTAGAATGCTATAATTAGTTATCACAAAATGATCTATCATTATAAGCATACATTTTTATAGTACATAAGTTCCTCAATTTTTACTTTTATGCAGAAAATAGTTTATAATTGAAAGAAAGGGAAAAAAAGTATTTAGTCAAAGGGAGACAACTCTTAATTTAATTTAAAACTAATAAATGCAGTGATTAGACCTGGCAAACACCTGTTCTCATCCTTTCAATAGATTAACAAAGACAATGTTTTACCTGAGGTTAATACCCAAATCAATTAGGACAAAACATTTGAAATATATATGGCAATGAGGTACCAAAAATTCTTATATTTTCATTGATACCCAATCATTTGTTGGTGAAATTTTACAGCTAACCTACCCCTTTTGTACATCAATATGACAATGAAATCTTGAAAAGTAATTTTTTTCAAAAAATAATATAGAAGGTGCTAAAATTATAATTATTTATGAAAAATTCTTTGAATTGACAAACCGACATAAGGATCAGTATACCTTCAATAATTTTTATAAAGTTTATTGATTGCAACATCAAGGGTTAACTTAACTACTGCATGTCAGGTCACATTGGTTTAGAAAATGATGACAACAAGGCCATGATACGTAAACTGTTGACACAGAGATATGTCTTGCCTGTCAGCATAAAATTCAGATGAAGACAATCTGATGGACAGCAACATTGCTTATTAATTCAGTCGCTGGACCATAATCTAGTGGGCAGGGACTGAAAATGGTTGACAAACTGAGATGTAAAGATAGTAACGTAACTTTATAGAAAGTATCGTTGTCTTTTGTAAGTAGTTCTTATCAATCTAACTTAAGCAGAATGGACCATAACCTAGGGGACAGGGCCTCAAAATAGTCATCAACCTGATATGTACTGATAGTAATGTGACTTCATACAAAATATCATTGATCTATCACAAGTAGAACTTATCAAACTAACTTAAGCAGAAAACTTAAGTTAACATTGAAAATTGCTAATTAATTCAAAGTCACTGGACAATGACTTAGTCATCAATCTGATATGTACTGATAGTAATGCAACTTCATACAAAATATCATTGATCTATCACAAGTAGATCCTATCAAACAAATTAAGCAGAAAACTTAACATTGAAAATTGCTAATTTACCGTCATCATCGTCGCCGTCGCCAGACAGCAATCCCTATGTCTCGCTTTCTGTGACTTTTGTTGCAGGCGAGACAATAATACTGTTTTTGTGAGCCACATGTTGTAATTTAAGTAATTGAAGCAAAGCTAATTAGAGTAGAAAATGATAATTGTACTAGCATTAAGATAGATTTTGAATATATAAGTCCATACAAACTAGTTAATTTCTGGAAAAGTCTCTTCAAATGCACTGATTACCATTGATACAACTATTGTTAGTCTAGTAATTCACTTCACATTCAAAAATTGTCTCTATCTACGTATAAAACAATCAATGTTTTACAATACAATGAAGATATCTTGACTGCTAACTGTTGCAGACTTCTTTACGAATTAGATGTTTTTTTCTTTGTGAATTTGGGGTTGTTTGATGAATGAGTAATCATTTGGTTCTCTACATTTCAGAATTAAAAGGTTTATTAACCCTGCCACATTCTTTATGTGCCTGTCTCAAGTCCTGAGCATATAGTTCAGTGGTTGATGTTGGTTCAGGTCTGTTATATTTGTTTTTCATAAATTTTTGTTATAAATTAGGTCATTAGATTTCTTGTTTGAATTGTTTCACATTTTTCATGTCACTCACTGGCCTTTTATTGTCGACTATACGGTATTGGTTTTTCTCATTTTTGAAGGCCATACGGTGGCCTATAATTGCTTACATCCACTTTCTTTTAACACCTGGTGGATAATGTCTCATTGGCAATCTTACCACATCTTATTTTTTATATATATTGATTTCTACCGGTATACAAATTCCAACAGAGGACTATGAGGTTTAACACTTGAACAGCAATTTAATCTATCCCCAAAAAGGGTCTGTGAAGATATATAAATATAGTGTCTTGTAGCAAACATTGTCATGGGTTGTAAGACACTGAATATAATATTGCAATTATATTTTTTGTGTACCTTCCATCAAAGGTGGTTCCTCATCATAGTTCTCGCCACCAGCATTTGGATCATATTGTTGCACAGGCTCTGGAGTCAAAATATGACCTGAGTACTGGTCTCTATTGCCTCCATAGGCATTTGGGTCCCCATATCCTTGCTGTTGTCCATAATCAAACTGTGCAAATTGTCTGTAAAGAAATAAAGCATACTTTTTTTCAATCCTGATCCCATATATACAGCTTATAGTTTATCAAAGTTCAATTTTGCCTGATGTAGTTGGAACCTCATTCCATAAAAATTTTTAAAAAAGTATTGAAAGAATTTATTAAAACATATATATATATATATATATCGTATACCATCTTTTCCACAAGTTTATTGTTTTTATGTTTGGTATTAAATTAATAATTAAGATCCATTTTGTTACATCTGGTGATCCATTTATTTGGCAATCGCCATGGCAGTCAGCAGTGTTTAAGAACATCTGTTGTTCGACCTGCTAGTCAAATGCGTTTTGTTAAAATATACTTTTTCACTTTTTTGGTCTTTTGGAAAGTGTTGTTTGTGCTGTATTTAGACCCCTCTACCAGGAAGTTTGTTTTGCATGCACACGTATAAAAATTGCGGTTCTTATATATCCAACACAATCATAGGTCTGAACATTGTTTTCAATTTAGACTTGTTTATATATATATGTACTTTGTATGCTCTTCTCCTGTTTCAAAGCGAGTACAAATAAATTCTGTATTTCTGACAATGAACATATATTGTTTTTATCCTGTAACTTACACCCAGCACTTTACAGTTTAGTTGTTTTAATCTAAATAGTTGTCACTGATTTTTTTAACATACTTTACAAGTGGACCAAGAAGATGACCCCAAAATGAACTGTCACCTCAAAAAAAAATATTCACATTCCCGTTTGCTCAACATGGAAGCAGAGTAACAAAAGATTTTATTTGTACCTTTTCCTGGTTCTGGGATCTAGATCTAATGATACAAACATTAAACAAATTTGGAGGCAGATATTTCATTGGTTGACATAAAAATGAGCAAAACAGAAAGTAGAACAGATCTTTGTCCGATCCGTTATAGACAATTATGGTCATAGGATCTGTATTTTAATCAGATTGAATCCAAACATTATTTCAAAGGATTTTTTCTCTCCAAAACGACTATCTATCTGAATAAGTCTTGGTGTTGTATTTCTATGAAAAGCAATTCCTACATCATGCATTTTTATATTATGGAATGCACTAACAGTAATCTTTTCTTGTAAAATGCTTAAAAGAAATATTCAATGTTTTTTCATCTTTTTAGTATTATCATCTAAAATTTTAAAACAAATTCACCATTTTTTCCGGAAAACGCCTGGGTCAGACTGAAAGAGATTTAGTTAAGATTGTACAGATTGTTCTCGCATTTGGAACCACGTATTACAGGCATATACTTTAGATGCATTTTGTTTGTATTTTTGAATGTGGAATTCTCCCAATTGTCTTATATTCTAGAATCATGTGACATCACAAATATTCATACTAGATACTTAGTAGCAAAGATGTACCCAATATTGGGTGCAATGGCAGTGAATAAGTAAATAAATATTTTTTCTTTAATAAATATCTTTCTCTGAAAGAGACTGCATTGGTTCTGCTTTCATGAAATAAATAAATAATGCAAATTCTCCCAAACAGTTACTCTATTATGTGATTGGTAAGAATCTGGCTTATTCTTATTCACTCTATAAGAAATTTTGCCTAGATCTCTGTTCCCTCAGTGTCATTCAGTGTAATAATACATAATGGTAAATGCAGGATGTCCACTGAGACCAAAGAGGTAAGAAAGGGCACATGAATCTGGAAGCAGGGTTCAAAATGAACTATTCATAAGTACTATTCATTATATTAACCATTTACAAGACATGAAAGGTCAGAATAAACTGAACTCCTCAAGACTGTACAGAACAATTCAAGTAAGGATTACTTACATTTACACCCTACACTAAGGTATGTGATAAAACCTACAGAATATAATAAGCAACTGCAAGATGGTAAGATGTGACTGCTCATAAATTTCTTATCTTTAAGTGCACTGGGGTTCATGTTTTTGTTATATAAATGTTATATGTATTCAATATTATATGTAACATATTAATATCTTACGGATCTTGTCCGAAATTATTGCCACCCATATCATAACCAGCTGACTGTTGCTGCTGATCATAGTTGAAGTTGTAAAATTCATCCTGGCCAAAATTATCAGCCATCTCCAAATTTTAAGCTGAAAAATAAGAAATGAGATAAATTGATTGATTGATTGATTGGTGTTTAACGCCACTTTCAACACTATTGTGCTATTCCATGGCGGTCAGTTGTTTTTATTGGTGGAGGAAGCCGGAGTGCCCGGAGAGAACCACCGACCTTCAGTAGGAAAACTGACAATCCTAGTCAAATTATTGGTGGAGGAAGACGGAGTGCCCTGAGAGAACCAACGACCTTCAGTAGGAAAACTGACAATCCTAGTCAATTAAGATTGCAGTCGAGTGCACCTGCCCAGTGCGGGATTCAAACTCACAACCTCAGTGTTGACTGGCTAGTGATACAGTAGTTCGACTACTTAGATCACTCGGCCACCGAGGCCCCTGAGATAAATGAAACATCTCTATTTGACCCCTAAGCTAAATAAATTTCATTTACTTTTCTATATATCTATACTACTAAAATAACGAGGTCCAATTTGTAAGGCGGGATGACGTAAAAACAACGAATCAAAGAATTCAACTTTATATATAACTAATATGGGACAATAGTGTTGATTAAAAATTACATCATTCCAGTCCCTATTGTTTTCCACATAATTAATATTACCAATAATTAACAAGTTCTGGGTCGAATCCGATACCAATACCAATAGTAACTGTTACCCATAATGGCATTACCTAAACTCTATGTTCCGTCTCTGTCAGGTGCACCACCAAATGGTGAATTTGGGATTTTCTATACACGGGTCATAATCACATCTGAACTGCGTCAGTATATAGTGATTGACACTACTAAATTCAATCACTGACATTGACCAAAAAAATATATCTACAAGAAGTTTCCAGTTGTAATAAGAAAACCAGGCGGGAATTGTAAGGTTGATTTTCATCTCCCGCAAAAGTGACTAAAGCCCTCAAAATCCTGGCTTAAACCCTGGGCGGGATTCAAACAGAAAGATTTTGAAAGCAGAGAAAACTGTGCCCCTTATAATCAGCATGACTTTATCAAATGACAATACGAATACTAAAAATCCAGGCTAAAAATAAGGCGTACAAGTAGGAACTTAAATGCAGTCACGGAGCCGGGATGTCACGGGTGTGTCCTAGTACATACAACGAATGCTAATTTAAGCTTAAGTCTTCATATTTTTTTGTAGGGTACTAGAGATTTTGCTGAATCCTGGGAAAAAGGAAAACACAACCCATGTTGATTTTTTTTAAAGTTAACAGATCCATACCTGCTTTTACATTCATTTGGCAGACTGAGTAAGGAAATCAACCAAAGTCTCCATCAACTAAATTTCCTAAGCCCATTGTTGATTGGTTGAAATTCATGAATTCTTGCTGGTTTGGTTAACTTATATTCAGCTTGAGTTTGCAGAAATGAACATGTGTAAAATTTACTCTGAACAGACAGAGGGACAGAAAGTGATGACAAAAGCTCAGATGACCCTTTTGGCTAGATATGCTTATAAAATTTGGAAGGGTTGAATGAAACCCTTCGCCTCAGCATGTGATTACAGCAGAATCTATTAACTACAGTCCATTACTATATATGTTATACAATAATGTACAAAAATAAGGTCTATTTAACATGTTTAAGAGTTGAAATCATTATATAAGGAAAATATTTTCAAACATGGCCATTGAAACAATTTTTTTTAGAAGTAGAAGCTTCTCTTGTCTTTTTGTTGTTGTTTTTTTTTTTGTTCATCATGCCAATCTGGTACAAGATATAAGTCAAGACCGTTTTTTTTTTTCAGGTACATTTCCATCTAAGTGTGCAAGGGTATCACCTATCCATAAAAGTGGTGACACAAAAGATATGAACAAATATAGACCAATATCTGTACAATGTACTTCCAATTTTATCGAAGATTTTTGAAAAGATTATTTATTCCCAAATATACAAATATTTGATAGAATTTGATTTGATTTATAAGTACCAGTCTGGGTTTAGACACGGCCATTCCTGTCACTCAGCTCTAACGAAAATTGTTGAAGAATTGTTTATTAACATGGATCAAGGAAACTATTCGGGAGTTGTATTCTTAGATTTTAAAAAAGCTTTTGATATTGTAAATCACTCAATTTTATTATTAAAATTAGAAATGTATAAGTTTGATTCTCTTTCTTTTAAATGGTTCAAATCATATTTATCAAACAGGTCTCAAAAAGTAAAAATAAATACCAACATATCTTCAGGTAAAAAAGTAATATTTGGTGTACCGCAAGGCAGTATTCTAGGCCCTTTATTATTTCTTTTATATATTAATGATCTCCCACTTCAACTAAATCATACAAAGACTGATTTGTATGCGGATGACACAACACTTAAATACTCTTCAAGTTCCGTTGATGATATATGTGATAAACTTAATGACGAAATAGCAACTTTTAAAATATGGTGTGATATAATGATATGATTTTAAATATTAAAAAATCAAAATCTATGTTGGTTGGATCACATAGGAAGCTTCAAAGCATACAAGAAACATTGAAGATAGAATACAGTGGAATTCTTTTACAAAATGTAAACAGTGAAAAATTACTTGGCATTTTAATCAATGATTGTCTTTTATGGAATCAACAATTAAGATATGTACTGTAATTTCAACCAGACTAGGTTTACTAAATCAATTGAAGCATTATATTCCACAAAAAGATTATGTTTATTTCATAATGGATATGTACTTCCTCTTTTTGATTATTGCTGTACAATATGGACAGAAACAAGTAATTCAAATATGGAAAAAATGTTAAAATTACAAAAAAGGGCAGCCAGAATCATTCTTAACAAAGCACATGATACTCCATCAAAAACTTTATTCAAACAATAAGGATGGTTAACTTTTCAAAAATGAATCACATATCACAAAGGAGTATTAATGTATAAGTGTGTAAATAGTATCGCACCTGATTATCTGTGTGAATTATTTAACAATAACGATTATCACAGAAATTTATCTATATTTTAAAAATCCATATATTTGTCTTGTAAATCATTAAGAAAATATGTTCATGAAACGATTCTGTATGTTTTTCACCATTTGATTTGCATAAAAATCTGTACATGTATGTATGTATATGTATTTATTATATTATTATATTTTGAGTTATTCAGAGGGCATCAGGGGAGATTAGTATTGTACTAACTGATTTTACCGTCTTTAAATAAAGTATTTATTATTATTATTATTATATTATATTTCACATGAATTCAGCGAAGGGTTATGGTTTTTTCCTAAAAAATATTCTGATCCCCAATTTGATGAAAAAAATATTATGGTCAGGCAGATGACAAAAAAAATATTCTGAATCCAGATTTTCCCCATACCTTATAGTGTTAAATTTTGAAAAAAAAATAATTTGATTGATAGCATCGAAAAACTAAAAAAAAAATTTACTCAGACAAAAACCATAACCCCCCTTGAAGTTAAATGGTTGCTCCCTCATAATGTCACACATTTACTTTAACGTTTCAATTTGACATTGCTGCTTGAATGATATATTTTTTTCATTACAGAGAATAGAAAATAACAATATGTCATTTGTGTCATTCTTTAACGAAAGAAAGATTTCCCATTAGCACATGATTAGAAAAATTGAATCAATTATCATGTAAATGATCGTAAATATTTATTCCATAACAAACACAAGTATGAGAAACATAGACACCAACGACTGCATAAAATCCTAAAGCCATCACTAATGCATGTAGTGCGAGCTGACTTTATGGTTTTTTCAATGGATATTTATGATTATTTATTTATTCCTAATCAAGCATTTTGGGTTCCATTTATGCCACAAGGTCAAAACTTCAAAGAGCTACTCAAGCCTTATGTATTGTTAACAGAATATATTCATCAACAGTAATTTTGTATCAGCTTGAAGTAGAGTTATTATTATAGTTATCTTGTTTTGTATTTTCTCAACAATTACTGACAAAAGCATGATTAATACTTAAGACATATATCAAAGAAATGACAAGTCTCTGATGATAATGAACGTTATTGTTCGGTATATTAAAAACTTCATTTATAATAAAAATTCCCATTTAATGAATAGTCTTATTGCATGCATAATTTGATACACTTTTTCAATTTCAATTACATTTTCCTCCCTTTATAACAATAAAAACCTTGGCTGTAACACCTTTACAAAGTATGACCAAACTGGCAGTATGGTCGAATTAACTGTGGCCGAAAGGACTGTGTGGCCGATACGACTTTGGCCAAATTGGCAGTGAAGTCGAAAAGTCTTGCATTGCTGTTAAGTGGCCTATTCTTTTCGTGTTTTTGATTTTTTTTATTCATTCTGATTCATTTCATTTCTATATAGTTTTGCACTTTAAAGGCACTCCAAAAATCTTTGAATTTAAAGATACATGTATCAGCCTGCCTGAGAAAAAAAATTGATTTCAAAGTCCAACACTTATAGTAGTTCAAGAAAGACATTCAAAATATGACTTTTTTTACACAATAAACACTTAACTAATCATAAATTGCTCATTTATGTTAATGAATGTACCCAATCATAAAGATATATGGTCTCTCGTCATAAATCTCCAAATAGTGAAATACAGTGACACTGACAGTGACAGAACTCATTTGTGGAAGTGTTTAAATGAGAAAATAGTGTAAAAAAATTGCATATCTTTCCAAATTTTGATTCACAGTAAATTTAACCTAGTCAATTAAGCCATTTCGATCTTAAATGGTATAAAACGTCAATATCTTTACATTTTTTAAAAATCTGACTTGTTCTTCAACGTGTGCTTTGTTTTTACCGGAAGTTCGTACAGTCGCGCTTCTTATCCCACTTCCTTTATTCTGCCTTTTCCGGTCGTGAAACGAAATCAGGTGCGATGGAATAAATAAACTGATTTCTATCCTTAAATATCCCTTAATAACATGAATCATCTGACAATAGCGAATATCCTATATCTTCACACACATATACAGTAACACCTCATACCTTCAAATTCGCCAATTGATGTGTAGAAGGAATAATACAGCATTCTTTTCACAACCGTTTCACTCTTCAGCATGAAAGTATAGGTTGAACGGTAGTTTTCTTGAGACCTGCGTATTATTATAACCGTCGTATGAGCTTCACAACTTTCTGACCATTTCAAATGTCACCAAATCTGAGGGTGTTGACGAATTCGACATAACAGAATATCGCCCAGTGGCACATCATTTTGCAACAAGATGCAGAAACAAACGACTATAGCAATAGACATAAGAAGAACAAATTTTAGATATAAATAATGTTCTGTCATCAGTACCAAATTTCCTGATTTGCAAAACAACAATACCTTCAATTATTTAGCCTTCAGCCTATGGAAAAAAAACTGAATTTTCTGCTCGCCCTTCTTTCCATAATTCAAAAAGTGCATACATGTACCATAAGGACTTTTGTCATTTTCGAACAAGCACTATTAAAGTTTGACTGTTTCCTTGTTTTAATTAGTCAAAAACTTCACAAACTACAATCCAATATTTTTTTTATCTGCCTTCCCTCTGAGACTGTATTTTAGGCATATCTTTTTTAAGTGTTGTATATATGGTAGATTTGGCTAAGTTACATGTACTTGTGGTATTGGTTGTTTGTCCAGTTTTTGTAAGGGTATAGATTCTGTTCGCCCTGGGTTTGAAACAAAGAATTGGTATAATTTGAATATATATAATTTTATTGATGCTTTAATTTTATAATAAAGTTCTCATAAGGTTCAAGTGTCTGATGAGAACCTGATAGTAAATGTTATATTCTTTGTGACCAACCATTAATGTATAGTTATTATATATATTTTAGGAGTCAACATGAAGATCCTGAACTCTAACCAGTGTGTCGTTATTCCTGATGGACGTAAGTATATCTCTGAAAAGATATGTGCTGCAGCACATTAAAAATCGAAGTTCAGTAAGAAGGAATCACAGGGCAAAGAACAAGTAAACAAATACAATAGGTTGTTCCTGTAAAATAATTTACAATGATTTATACGAAACAATCTGTCGTTTGGCTTCATGGTGGTAAGAAATATAGGTATACAGATAGAAAGTCTCAAAATTGATTGGATTAGTTGATTGATTGATAGGTGTTAAACACCACTTTCAGCACCATTGTGCTATTTTGTGGCAGTCAGTTATTATTGGTGGAGGAAACCACCAATCTTTGTAGGAAAACTGACAATCCTAGTTGATTAATAGTTCGACTACTTAGACCACTCAGCCACCGAGACCCCCTAAAATTGATTGGACCAAAATTAAGAATTATTAATTTGCTAGCATTCAAACTCAAAACAGAAAACCATTGAAATTATATCTTTATTTTTTTTAATGAAAAAAGGTCATTGTACATTGTTGTAACACAGGCATGACAAGGATTCCATTATCTTTTATGTGGATTGCATGAGATGTTAAGAATTTAGGAGGTACTTTTGTATGTATAATATTGATACCTTGTATGAAAATTTCTTAATTAGGGCATATATATCAATAACTTGTTTAGAAGTGTAAAAGAACCACTTCTTTATGAAAGGCCTGAATGTAGGAAATTGTTCATAAGTTTTTTAAAATGAATAATTATCATTGTTTTATCATACAAAGCATATATTTATGATATAAAGTATGGGCTCAAATCCTGCTAAGGGAAGAACTAAAATTTGTAAATAATTTGCAGATCTAACTTTGTTGGGCTAGATTTTCGACAAAGTACATGTATGTATACAAATTATGGTGAACAAAAAAAAAAACATTTAGACAGTATATGGAATGGACGCTTCTAAAGTTTTGATAATATAGATGAAACAAGCTTACTAAAATTAATACTTAAATATAAAACCTGAATCTATCAAATTAAAAAAAAAATCAGTTTCCTTCATAGAGAAGTCAATTGAACTGAGGTCATGAGAGTTTATTACTTATAACACATGTAATTTACATTACGGTGATATAATGGTGGACATTGTTTTTATAGCCACCTTTATCAGAGTTTGTCCAAGGTAGAACTGTACATCATTTGCCAAAAGGGGCCTATTTTATCCAGGGAATTTTTTTTTACCTCAATTGCTTTTTTTTTTTTTTTAATTCATTTAACAATGATAGCAGGGTCTTTTGAATGGCAAAACTTTTAATTTTCAATTTTTGTTACAGTTACAGGGAAGGTACGATCCCGTAAGGTGACTATCACTGGACCAAGAGGGACCCTCGTAAGAGAATTCCGCCATCTGGCTGTGGATATCAGTATGCCCAAGTCAAATACAATTCAAGTAGAGAAGTGGTTTGGCAAAAGGAAAGAGTTGGCTGCTGTGAGAACTGTATGCAGTCATATTGAAAACATGATAAAAGGGGTAACAAAGGTATGTTTTCTTCTGTGGAATGTAATTTCAATGTCATATATTTTAGTGTGAAAAAGACACTCAGCACTTTACACATTTGCATTCAGATAAATATTAAGTTCACCTGGTACAAAAGATAGTTGTGAATTAGGTACAATCACTTGACATCTCTCTGTTTTATTTTTTTGTATCTCTAACGGCATGCCGAAGATGAATTTAAATCTTGATTTATTCATTATGAAATTTACATTTTATCTTTTATTTAAAATTAAAGAATCTACTCGTCCTATACTATATAAAATCATCACATAAAATTTTTAGGAAAAACACTTTTATTTAGTGTTGATAATATCTGTTAATGTGTAAAATTCCTTAATATAACACCTCACAGTAAACTACTGTACAGATATTACCCAAACTTCAATCACCTTTTAAAGTGAATTTAGTCTAAAAATGTATTCGAATTCAAAATTTGTGGATTTTCCTGTAAACTTCAATAGTTCTCAAAATTCTGATTCCTTTTCCATGGAGAAGTGAAAATATACTCATCACAATGAAAATACTTTTTTTATACGACCGCAAAAAAATTGCGTTTGTATATTGCTATCACGTCGTTGTCGTCCAAAGACATTTAGTTTCCGGACAATAACTTTAGTTTAAGTTTATGGATCTCTATGAAATTTAACAAAAGGTTCAATACCACAAAAGGAAGGTTGGGATTGTTTTTGGGGGTGATGGTCCCAACCGTTTAGGAATTAGGAGCCAAAAAGTGGCCCAAAATGAGCATTTTTATATGACCGCAAAATTTTTCGGTCGTATATTGGTATGACGTTGTCGTCGTCGTCAAAGACACATTGGTTTTCGCACTCTTACTTTAGTTTAAGTGAATGGATCTCTATGAAATTTTACCATAAGGTTCAATACCACAAAAGGAAGGTTGGGATTGATTTTGGGGGTTATGGTACCAATGCAACAGTTAAGGAATAAGGGGCCAAAAATAAGCTTTTTTGTAACTTCCAGACATAACTTGTGTGTTAGTGTATGGATCTCTCTGACATTGTACCACAAGGTTCCATATCACAAAGGGAAAGCTGGGTTTGAGTTTGGGGGTAATTGCCCTAAACGTTTAGGAATTTGGGGTCAAAAAGGGGCCAAAAAACACATTTTTCTAGTTTCCAGACAATAACTTGTGTTCAAGTGTATGGATCTCTCTGAAATTGTACTGCAAGGTACCATACCACAAAGGGAAGGTGAGGATTAAGTTTGGGGGTGATGAATCATAAGGGGGTTCAAAAAATTTGGGGGGGGGGGATTTTTTTTTTTCCCTTTTTTTTTTCTTTTAAAATTTTCCATTTTAAGTTGGTTATTTCTGATTTATATTTAAAAGCAAATAATAATGATATGGTAGGAGATACACACCAAACAGGATGTGTAAATTATTATATAATAGGTATTGTGCAATAGCAAGAAATTTTCAATTGCACAGTATTGCACAATAGCAAGAAATCTTCAATTGCACAGTATTGCGCAATAGCAAGAAATCTTCAATTGCACAGTATTGCGCAATAGCAAGAAATATCCAATAGCACAATATTGCGCAATAGCAAGAAATTGTCAATTGTACAGTATTGCGCAATAGCAAGAAATATTTAATTGCACAGTATTGTGCAAAAGAACTTACTTTGTATAAATTGCTTATTTCTTGACCAATTTCAATGGGGTTTTATTCTTGAATTCTTGGGGTTCTTTAATATGCTGAATCTAACCGTGTATTTAGATTTTGGATTTTGGGCCCCGTTTTTAAATTGGTCCACATTGAGGTCCAAAGGGTCCAAAATTAAACTTTGTTTGATTTCAACAAAAATTGAATATATGGGGTTCTTTGATATGCTGAATCTAACCATGTATTTAGATTTTTGATTTTTGGGCCCCGTTATCAACTTTGTCCACATTGAGGTCAAAAGGGTCCAAAATTAAACTTTGTTTGATTTCATCAAAAATTGAATTCTTGGGGTTCTTTGATATGCTGAATCTAACCATTTATTTAGATTTTGGATATTAGACCATAATAGGTGAATGTCCAATTTAAAATTTTTAAGTTCTTAGACCACATTCATTCTGTGTCAGAAACCTATGCTGTGTCAAATATTTAATCACAATCCAAATGCAAAGCTGTATCAAGCTTGAATGTTGTGTCCATACTTGCCCAAACTGTTCTGCGGTCGTATCAAGCTGCGCCCTGCGGAGCATTTTATTTAATCTTACAGTATATATTTGATATTGAATAAAAATAACATATAACTATGGATTAGGTAAAATTTTTAGTTTTGAAAACGATAAGAGTGCCCTCTACAATATCAATAACAAACATGGCGGAACGTAAATTAACCACCTCGCGAAATTGATTTTTTCTCTTATTACTTGCTTATCGTACTCTATAGTCCTCACCCTGTCTGGCAGGTTCAATTTTGGAGAATAAAACCGTGGACTATACAAGCCTTTTAACGGTAGAAGTTAGCAACTAAAGGTCACTATCAGGGATGGGGTAATCGTAATCTGTAATCGTAATCAATTGTAATTGATTACATTTTTTCCAGTAATCGACAGTAATCTGTAATCGAAGACATTTTCGATTACATGTAATCGTAATTTAATCGATTACAGCAAAAATGATGATGTAATCATCGATTACTTTTCGATTACATTTCGATTACTTTAGTAAAATAGTTTGATGAAATATAACCTTTTTCAAATGAAAATATGTATGAATTCACTTTATAGTACGTATATAATAGAATGTATTAATAAGACTTCAGAGTCTATCAAATGCCTTATTTGTATCTATTGTCTCAAGCTGGATTATGATCAACCAGATCTCCCACCAAATTTTACTGTTTATCCAGCTTTTGAAACAATTGACTTTACTGTCTTCAATGCTTTTCAATAAATTAAAGACCTTTTATTTTGAAAAAAGAAAATAGATTAAAATAATAAATGAGTCTTATGTTAAGTTCTGTACTACATTGACATTAAAGCGTATTTATCAATAAGAGTTGGAATTTTAGCTAGAATAGATAAACAGTTGATTCGTCATAATATTATGATATACAAAATTAGAAAGTATACAAAATCCTTTTGACAATGTACCAATGGCTATGCATTGAAATTCTTGTTCAAAAATAGATACATGTATCCCATTTTGACACTAAAAATACATATTGTTTATAATTTTAATAGAGCATAAAAAATTCTCAACAAACTTCTTGTCTTTACTAATCAGATGATCAAGGACTTCTAATCAATGAGATGCCAACTTTGTTTTGATTTCAATTATGTCTTATTAAGAACAGATTTACATTATATTGCCCCAGGTTATAAAATGTTCTCCATTGGCAGTTTTATAACCTGTAATTAGGGAGGTTATCCAAACAACAGGATTAATGCATGCATGTATTAATTATAAATTTACATCTTTGAAATAAGCTGAACTAGTTAATTATTCTACTTTTTTAATATTTTTTCAGAGGAAACTTCCAACATTGTAATGAGCTATATTCAAATATAGTTAAAAATGAGTAAATACAAAATACCTAACATAAGTCAGTATGACAGTAAAAAATTGCAAAATATGGAGAAAATAACCTAAAATATAAAGAAGTGACTGAATCCATGTGATGTCATTGCAAGAACTTTATCACCACTCACTCCTGTTGAAAACCAAAATTTCAAGAGTTTTTGAATATTTCGGATCCTCAGTAAGAGCTTCCATCTAGAAAACAACTGTCAACTTAAAATTTGAAAACAATGCTTTAAATGCTGTTTTTATAAAGTTCCAAATTTCCCCTATACATACGTTGAACAACATATTTGTGTTAAACTTTCTTTATTATTCTTTTGTAATTTTGTAGCATGTAATTGACAGTAATCGAAAAGTAATGTAATTACTTTTGATTATGTAATCGATTGCAATCAATTACATACAAAAATCAGAGTAATCGATTATTAATCAAATACACAAAAATTCCCCAAGTAATGGATTATTAATCGATTACATTTGTCAGTAATCGTGCCCATCCCTGGTCACTATACGGTCTTCAACAATGAAAAAAAACCATACCACATAGCAAGCTATAAAAGGTCCTGACATCACAAATGAAAACAATTCAAACGAGAAAACTAAAAGCCTAATTTATGTATAAAACAATAACAGAAAGTATATGTTCATTTATTTTATTATCATGATGATACTTACAGTAAAATAATTTTTATTACAGGGCTATTTGTACAAAATGAGATCAGTATATGCCCATTTCCCCATCAATGTTGTCTTACTTGACAATGGAACAGCTGTAGAAATCAGAAACTTTCTTGGTGAAAAGTTCAACCGAAAAGTGAGCATGTTGAGCGGTGTAACCATCAAGGCCTCATCCCAGAAAGATGAATTTTTACTGGAAGGCAATGATATTGAATTAGTTTCCCGATCAGGTAGATGAACAGTTAGAAATTAAGACTATTTAATAAAAAATGTACATATATATATATATGCCATACAAAAAAACCTTTATGTTTGTCTGTCATGCATACTTATATTTGTGTAAAGCTAGTTAAGAAGCTTTTGACTATCAAATAGATTGTCACATGTTTTATTTCCATTCCGGTAAATTTGTTGCATGTTTTATTTTTCTTCAATCTACTCTACATGCATATATACTTAAATATGAAAGGAATAATATGATGACGTAGGAGTAGCCTGAAAGTGACAAGCAAAGCAAAATTCTATAGTCTAATAGTCTAGAAGGTAGTCAGTGTCCTCTCTCATCTTTTTTTTTATCTTCAATATTTTTTTTTTGTCCTAAAAGAGAGTGGGGAAACTTTTTGAAAAGTATGAGTCTTTGTCAAATATCGTTGTTTACAGTGCAAATCTAATTGAATCTATAGATGGTTACCTTTTTATACGACCGCAAAAAAATTTTGTGGTCGTATATTGGTATGACGTTAGCGTCGTCGTCATCGTCGTCCGGCGTCGTCGTCCGAATACATATTGGTTTTCGCACTCTAACTTTAGTTTAAGTGAATGGATCTTTTTGAAATTTGACCATAAGGTTAAATACCACAAAAGGAAGGTTGGGATTGATTTTTGGGGTTATGGTACCAACAGTTAAGGAATTAGGGGCCAAAAATGGGCCAAAAATGAGCATTTTCTAGTTTCCAAACAATAACTGTGGAACGGTGTATGGATCTCTCTGAAATTATACTACAAGTTTCCATACCACAAAGGGATGGTTAGGATTTGCTTTGGGGGGTTATGGCTCAAACCGTTTAGGAATTAGGGGCAAAAAAGGGGGAAAAACAAGGTTGTCCTGGTTGATGGACAAATACTTTAGTACAAAACATAATTTAAAGCAGTGTAAGGGAGATAAATCAAATACATCATTGAAATTATCTCCCTTACACTGCTTTTAAATTATGTATAAAGTAATGGTTAATGAACAATAAAGATAATCTAAAACAGTGTAAGGGAGGTAATCCAAATACAACGTTTTGGTTACTTCCCTTACACTGCTTTTAAATTATGTTTAAAGAAATGCATATTTATAAAGGAAGACCAGTAAAAATATCTGCAAATGTTTTCATCTTTTTTTTTTACAAAAAAATCCATATGAAAGATTTGACACTATATTTTTATTAATGCTATTATAAAATAGATTAAGTTAGCACTATGGTAAATTTAAATGGGTAATTATGGTTGCCAACTCCATTGGAAATTTGAATTGAGATTATGACCATATCTTGAGGGAAAGAATTTTTTTGGGGGAAAAAGGGGGGGGGGGATAAAAAGAAATTGTGGGGGGCCAATTTTTTCTCATTTCAGATTTCAGAAATTAAAAAGAATTATTCTTCAAATATTATTTTTTTTTCAAATTTCAAATATTGAAAAATTTCAAGAAGTAATCTTTAATTGCACAGTATGGCGCATTAGATTTGTAAAATCTTTGATCACATTTATTTATTTGTTATGCCGAATCTAACAGTGTATTTAGATTTTTAATTTTGGGTCCAGTTTTCAAATTGGTCTACATTAATGTCCAAAGGGTCCAAAATTAAACTTTGTTTGATTTTAGCAAAAATTGAATATATGAGGTTCTTTGATATGCTGAATCTAAACATGTTTTTAGATTTTTGATTTTTGGCCCAGTTTTCAAGTTGGTCCAAATTGGGGTCCAAAATTAAACTTTGTTTGATTTCAACAAAAATTGAATATATGGGGTTCTTTGATATGCTGAATCTAACCATGTATTTAGATTTTTTATTTGTGGACCCCGTTATCTAATTGGTTCATATTGAGGTCAAAAGGGTCCAAAATTAAACTTTGTTTGATTTCATCTAAAATTGAATTATTGGGGTTCTTTGATATTCCAAATCTAACCGTGTATTTAGGTTTTTAATTTTGGGTCCTGTTTTTTAAATTGGTCTACATTGAGGTCCAAAGGGTCCAAAATTAAACTTAGTTTGATTTTAACAAAAATTGAATTCTTGGGGTTCTTTGATTTGCTGAATCTAAACATGTGTTTAGATTTTTGATTATGGGCCCAGTTTTCAAGTTGGTCCAAGATAGGGTCCAGTATTTAAACTTTGTTTGATTTCAACAAAAATTGAATGTATGGGGTTCTTTGATATGCTGAATCTTAACATGTATTTAGATTTTTGATTATGGGCCCAATTTTCAAGTTGGTCCAAATTGGGGTCCAAAATTAAACTTTGTTTGATTTCAACAAAAATTGAATATATGAGGTTCTTTGATATGCTGAATCTAACCATGTATTTAGATTTTTTATTTGTAGGCCCCGCTATCAAATTGGTTCATATTGAGGTCAAAAGGGTCCAAAATTAAAATTTGTTTGATTTCATCGAAAATTGAATTATTGGGGTTCTTTGATATGCCAAATCTAACCGTGTTTTTAGATTTTTAATTTGGGTCCCGTTTTTATACGACCGCAAAAAAATTTTTGTGGTCGTATATTGGTATGACGTTGGCGTCGTCGTCGTCGTCGTCGTCGTCCGGCGTCGTCGTCCGAATACACATTAGTTTTCGCACTCTAACTTTAGTTTAAGTGAATGGATCTCAATGAAATTTTACCATAAGGTTCAATACCACAAAAGGAAGGTGGGGATTGATTTTGGGGGTTATGGTACTAACAGTTAAGGAATTAGGGGCCAAAAGGGGCCAAAAATAAGCATTTTTGTAACTTCCAGACATAACTTGTGTGTAAGTGTATGGATCTCTCTGACATTGTACCACAAGGTTCCATATCACAAAGGGAATGCTGGGATTGATTTTGGGGGTAATGGCCTCCAAATTTTAGGAATTAGGGGCCAAAAAGGGGCAAAAAACAAGCATTTTTCTAGTTTCATGACAATAACTTGTTTGTAAGTGTATGGATCTTTATGAAATTGTACTACAAGGTTCCATATCACAAAGGGAATACTGGGATTGATTTTTGGGGTAATTTCCTCCAAATTTTAGGAATTAGGGGCCAAAAAGGGGCAAAAAACAAGCATTTTTCTAGTTTCATGACAATAACTTGTTTGTAAGTGTATGGATCTTTATGAAATTGTACTACAAGGTTCCATATCACAAAGGGAAGGCTGGGATTTTTTTTGGGGGTTTTCCCTCAAAATTTTAGTAATTAGGGACCATAAAAGGGCAAAAAAAACATGCATTTTTCTAGTTTCAGGACAATAACTTGTGTGTAAGTGTATGGATCTTTATGAAATTGTACTGCAAGGTTCCATATCACAAAGGGAAAGCTGGAATTGAGATTGGGGGTAATTGCCCTAAACGTTTAGGAATTTGGGGCCAAAAAGGGGCCAAAAAACAAGCATTTTTCTAGTTTCCAGACAATAACTTGTGTTCAAGTGTATGAATCTCTCTGAAATTGTACTGCAAGGTACCATACCACAAAGGGAAAGCTGGGATTGAGTTTGGGGGTGATGAATCATAAGGGGGTTCAAAAAATTGGGGGGGATTTTTTTTTTCATTTTTTTTCTTTAACATTTTCCATTTTAAATTGGTTATTTCTGATTTATATATAAAAGCAAATAATAATGATATGGTTTGAATAGGCATACATGTGAACCTCCCGACGGGAGTACAATAATCCCGTTTTCAGGGGTCTCCTCCCGACCTCCCGTTGAAGAGGAAAAAATCCCGTGTATGAAATTTTTCATGAATGAAAAATTTCTGCCCAACATATCATCTCAGGCATCTGGTGTAACTGACATTACCTGAAGTTATATTTTACCTGTAAATCAATTAACATGCATAATTATATGGCTTCACTTGTCAGCTTGGGTGTCAAACATACTGGTAATCAACGATTTTTACCTCAGGCTAACTGCCGTTGTGTAACAAAAACTGTGTATTTATTGGGTTACTTCCCTTGATTTATCCTGTTTTAAGTTACTTTCCTTTTAATAATGAAAATTTTTAAAAGAATATAAATAAAATATAAATTGAACAAATAATCATAAAAGGATGGTTATTAAATGATTTTAAATGTCTTAGGACAAATAAAAAAATAATAATTTGAAAATTATTTGAGGATTCTATACTTCCTTTCAAGGCTTAAATTGAAATTTATATAATAACTATGACCCTAATTTCACAGATAGAATGATTTTCTGAGTTTGCAAATAAAAACTATTTGCAAGAGAAAAAAAAAAAATAACTATTTGCAGATAGCTAAACAAATGTTCTGGTTGCAATGATTGTTTTATAGAATATGAAGTAAAAAATTTAAAGAACATACTGGAAAAAAACAATGTTAGATTGAACATGTAGAATATAAAGATGGAGAAACTTTATAAGTACAAGGGTACTATAAACATAATAAATTGGATGGAAAGTTGAAGAAAACACACTTTAAAAGACCATTTTTACAGCACACGGTTACATTTACAACAAAATTAATGTCGATTAAAAACCTCCTGATCTGAGTCCTAATCTCCTGACCAAAATTTCCCAATCTCCTGATCTGAGTTTCACAGTCCATCACATGTATGAATAGGTAAATTGAAAATTTTTTAAGTTCTTAGACCACTTTCATTCTGTGTCAGAAACCTATGCTGTGTCAAATATTTAATTACAATCCAAATTCAGTGCTGTATCAAGCTTGAATGTTGTGTCCATACTTGCCCCAACTGTTCAGGGTTCGACCTCTGCGGTCGTATCAAGCTGCGCCCCAGCGGAGCATTTTATTTAAATTGGTCTTCATTGAGGTCCAAAGGGTCCAAAATTAAACTTAGTTTGATTTTAACAAAAATTGAATTCTTGGGGTTCTTTGATATGCTGAATCTAAACATGTGTCTTGATTTTTGATTATGGGCCCAGTTTTCAAGTTGGTCCAAGTTGGGGTCCAAAATTAAACTTTTTTTGATTTCAACAAAAATTGAATATATGGGGTTCTTTGATATGCTGAATCTAACCATGAATTTAGAATTTTTATTTGTGGGCCCCGCTATCAAATTGGTTCATATTGAGGTCAAAAGGGTCCAAAATTAAACTTTGTTTGATTTCATCAAAAATTGAATTATTGGGGTTCTTTGATATTCCAAATCTAACCGTGTATTTAGATTTTTAATTTTAAGTCCCGTTTTTTAAATTGGTCTACATTAAGGTCCAAAGGGTCCAAAATTAAACTTAGTTTGATTTTAGCAAAAATTGAATTCTTGGGGTTCTTTGATATGCTGAATCTAAACATGTGTTTAGATTTTTGATTATTGGCCCAGTTTTCAAGTTTGTCCAAGTTGGGGTCCAAAATTAAACTTTGTTTGATTTTAACAAAAATTGAATATATGGGGTTCTTTGATATGCTGAATCTAACCATGTATTTTGATTTTGGACATTGGACCATAATAGGTAAATTAAAAAAATTCAAGTTCTTAGACCACATTCTTTCTGTGTCAGAAACCTATGCTGTGTCAAATATTTAATAACAATCCAAATTCAGAGCTGTATCAAGCTTGAATGTTGTGTCCATACTTGCCCCAACTGTTCAGGGTTCGACCTCTGCGGTCGTATCAAGCTGCGCCCCAGCGAAGCATTTTATTTTTAAAGTGCCTTCCCATGTTTTAATGGAACAGCCCTTAATAAATATTTATTAAAACAGCTTCTTGAAAAAATATTAAGATTAAGTTGCATAATCTTTGTCTTTGATGAAGTCTTATTAATTGATATACTGTAAACTAACAAATTTTTGCTAGCAATTTATTTATCACAATTTTTTCGCGTAGAAATGAAAGTTAATATTTAAAACTTGAGTCTTTCCTTCTATAAATACATCAGAAAAATTAGAATATCGCAAAAAAAATGAATCGCTGCAATATCGGCTATAAAGAACTTACAGCTAGATAAAGTATCCACAAATATATCCTTGATATATATTAATCAGTGTACAGAAGTAGAACACCAACATAACAAAAAACATCATTTTTATTGGCCTTCTTGAAGTTGCTGTGAGGTATGAGCTTTTGCTCTCTGTTATGTGTCTCATATAAACTTCAAGATGAAGAACAGCAATAAAAGCACTGTTCATTTAATTTGTTTAATGGAGTGTCTATAAGGATTATGTGTCATACACCTTCTTTCCCATTATATAGTTTTGACAAGTCTTAAGGAATGATGTGCTTAAAAGGAGAAAAGTCAAAAACAAAACAAAAAAGTATTGTTTATATACATGTATATATCAGGGTGGGATCTATTACATAAGAATTAGTCAAAAAAAAGCCTTTCAGATCCCACTATTTAATAATTTTGTGGAAAAGTCTTGATTGAATTGAAAATTAAAATAACATTTTTATTTTTTACAGCTGCTTTGATCCAGCAATCTACAACTGTGAAGGACAAGGATATCAGAAAATTCTTGGATGGAATCTATGTGTCAGAGAAGACCACAGTACAGTAAAAAACTATTATTAAAATCTTGTGAGGAACCAAGTTATGTGTTTAGTTTATGATTTATGCGTTGCCTAATCGCTATTTGTCTACAGAATTACTGGAAGTACAAGTCTAAATGCAGTAGTTTCCAGTCTGTTCAGCAATGTGATTTCCACTGTCAGCAATGTTTATTTTAGTTCCACACAAATGTTTTATCATTTGGTGTCCATCATTGTCCATTATCTCTTTAATTTAAAAAGTTCTCTTTTTCAAAAAAATACTTCCACACATTAAATAACTAAAAAAATGAACATAATAAGATGATCCATTTTTTTCCAGTCCTGAATAGACTATTTTCATAATACCGACTTTTGACTCCACAGAAATTATATTTTTTTGACAGGTTCTCTATTCTGTGGTAGGACATCCTGGTACTTGGTCAAGTAAGAGCAACTTAAAGAAGTAAAATCGAGCTTACAATCGGTATAATTTTTTTTTGGAAATTAACTTACGTTTTCTATACACGACTATCATCAGAAAACAGTAAACTTTCCCCCCAAAATTGCCCTGATTATATGTTTTATTTTACTTTTTTTGGTTGCCCTTACCTGACTGAGTATCAGGATGTCCGACCACAGAGTAAGTAACCTGTAGAAAAATTATGTAATCCAGAGTCAAAAGTCGGTAATATGAAAAAAGTCTATTGAAATCTTGGAGTGTCGACATTTATGCACATGGTTTTCCATAGAATCCATAGTTTGTCTCAATGAAGTAGAGGTAGTCCATTGGAGTACCTTTGGCATCTCTATCAGTTTATCTTTGTGTGCAACCACAGGTAGGTCTCAGAAATCTTTAATACATAAACTGATGGCTGTTCTAAGTTGGGAGTGACTTGACAATTTATTTTAAGGTTCACTGGCATTGAGGAAATTTTGAAAGTTACTGTCAAGTTCAGTTTGATGATGATGAATTGCTGATTAATTTCCAATGCCAAATTAAATGCATATTCAGACAAGAACATGTCAATGTGATATAAGCCAGCTTAATTGTCCCCCGCATGATGCATTGCGGGGGACATAAAAATACCTACAGTCTGTTTGTCCAGTCTTGTTAGTGCTCTCACATGTACAATTCTTGCCAGATTTTTATAAAACTTGTATCAGAGGTTTATATCAGCAATGTCTCAGACAAGTTCAAAAATCAGTGCCTATCAACTATTTTTAAAAGAGTTTTGCCCTTGAAAATATCAATTATATAATGGAAAATTACATTGTTAGCGCTCTCAGGTGTACAATTCTTGCCATATTTTTATCAAATTTATATCAGCAATGTCTCCGACAGATCCGAAAATCAATACCAATAAAAGAGTGATATCCTGTGGAAAAATTAATTATTTCGGAAATATCATTGCATATGCTCTCAAGCCATCATTTCTCTATAAAGGTATTTATAAAAAGTTTTAAAGAAAAAAAAAATTCAGTTATTGCCTTTGGACTGATAAAATATATGCAACTTTGGACATTGGAACTCTGTTCTTTTATTCTATAAAAAAAATAAGATTTGATATGATTGACAATGAGACAACTCGCTTCCAGAGACCAAATGACATAGAAGTTTACAACTATAGGTCAATGTACAGCCTTCAACAATGAGCAAAACCAATACAGCATAGTCGTCTATAAAAGACCCAGAAATGACAAATGTAAAACAATTCAAACCATAAAACTTAACTGCCTGATTTATGTACAAAACAATGAACAAAAAACAGATATGATATACAGCAACAAACATCAACCACTGATTTACAGGCTCCTGACTTGGGACAGGCACATGCAGAATGTGGCAGGGTTAAACTAGTTTGTTGGTGCCAAACCCTCCCTCTAACCTGGGACAGTGGTGTAACAGTACAACATAAGAACAAACTATAAAAATCAGTTGAAAAGGGTTTTACTCCTCGGATCGATACAAAGCAGAAAAACATCTAACAAAAGAGTGCACACGCTGAAATGTCGCCTGCTTTACTGACCATTGATTTTATGTTGAAAGTCTTGATGATAAAGGTTACCGGGTATTACCTAAAGCATTGCAGAAACTTAACATTTTTAAAAATCTAGGACAATGAGGTCAAGGTCAGATAAATTGTGTCAGACGGACATATACACCAAATATAGTTGACCTATTGCGTATGCTAATTGAAAAACATACCAAAACACAAAAACTTAACATTGACCAATGAACCATAAATATGAGGTCAAGGTCAGATGATACCTGTCAGACAGACATGTACACCTTACAATCATTCCATACACCAAATTTAGCTGACCTATTGCTATTAGTATTTGAAAAACAAACCAAAACACAAAACTTAACATTGACCATTGAACCATAAAAATTAGGTCACGGTCAAATGATACCTTCCAGACAGACATGTACACCTTACAATCATTCCATACACCAAATATAGTTGACCTATTGCTTATAGTACTTGAAAAAACAGACAAAAACACAAAAACTTAACATTTACCAATGAACCATGAAATAAGGTCATGGTGAGATGATACATTGTACCTGCAAGACAGACATGTACACCTTACAATCTTTCCATACACCAAATATATTTGACCTATTACTTATAGTACTTGAAAAACTGACCAAACCACAAAAACTTAACATTGACAAATGAACCATAAAATTGAGGTCAAGGTCAGATGAAACCTGCCAGACAGACATGTACACCTTACAATCCTTCGATACACGAAATATATTTGACCTATTGATTAAAGTACTTTAAAAACAGACCAAACCACAAAAACTTTACATTGACCAATGAACCATGAAAATGAGGTCAAGGTCAGATGAAACCTGCCAGACTGACATGTATCCATTGCAGTCATTCCATACACCAAATATAGTTGACATATCACTTATAGTACTTGAAAAACAGACCAAAACACTTAAACTTAACATTGACCAATGAACCATGAAATGAGGTCATGGTCAGATGATACCTGCCAGACAGACATGTACACCTTACAATCGTTCCATACACCAAATATAGCTGACCTGTTGTCTATAGTACTTGGAAAAAAGACCAAAACACAAAAACTTAACCTTGACCAATGAACCATTAAAATGAGGTCAAGGTCAGATGAAACCTGCTAGACTGACATTTACCCATTAGTCATTCCATACACCACGTATAGTTGACATGCTGCTTATAGTATTTGAGAAACGGACCTAATCAAGTAACTTTAATCTTGATCACTGATCCATGAAATGGTGTTGAGGTCAGGTGAACCCTGGCTGACGGACATGTAGACATTGCAAGGAACCCATATACCAAATATGGTTATCCTATTACTCGTAATAAGTGAGAAATTCACATGACAAAAAAACTCAAATTTTTTTTCAAGCAGTTGTTGAACCATGAAAATGAGGTCAAGGACATTGGACATATAATAGACCGAAACTTCGTAACATAAGGTATCTGCATACAAGATATAAAGCTTCCAGGTCTTCTACCTTCTAAAATATAAAGCTTTATACAAATAGTTTACGCCACTGCCAGCAGATAGTAATACCTATGTCTCGCATACTGCAATTGTCCTGAATATGCATGAAATATTTGCCAACAATCAATCAATCGCATACTGTGACTTTCATCGCAGGCGAAACAAAAAACACAGACCTGACGTGGCAGCATATTTATACATCTCCACAGCAAAATAGAAAATAAGTACATTATTTAGCATGACATGCTGAGCTAGATTTTTTAAATGGGTGCTATTTCATGAGGTCACAATTCATAGGATGACGAGTAACTGTACTTGGACACATTATTTTCATTTCTGACTTTTAAGGAACCTGTCTACTCTTACCCCGTTATGACATGAACAAAGTGGAAAAGCAGCAAATGCAAATTCTCAAGTCTGGTTTGAACCAGTCCCTCCAACACTTGAGGCGAACATTAGACCTGAAGATACTTTATGGAGTGCAATTTATTATTTGTCAATAGATGCATCTAAAGAAGATAATTACCAACTACATTGTATGCTTCTTGAGATTTCCATTATTTAGTTCAGATGGAAAGCTGATCTGTTTCTATATTTTTTGCTGGGATATATGTGTACCTTGCAATACACCAAATATAGTTGACCTTGCAGTCCAAATTATCTATTACTCATTAGCAAGAAATTCAGGTGAAAAAAAAAATCCCTTTATTAAGCAGTCGCTGGACCATGAAAATGAGGTCATGGACAATGGATATGTGCCAAACAGAAATTCATCTATTAAGGTGTGAAACATCCAGGTCTTGGTTGTTCTGAAGTATAAATCTTTATACAAATAGTTTAGGCTTGATAAGCATTCCTATGTCTAATTTCTGAAACTTTTCTGCAGGTGAGACAATAAAAGATGTGGGGGGTATACATCAATGAAACTGAAAACACCAAAAAAATCTGCACATCAACATGGTTTTCAACAAAAGACCAGTTACATATCAAATATTACTACTGAGTTGTGTCAAATTATAAATGATGTACAGACCTTAGCAAATCACTTGAATGTAAAAAAGAGGTGAAAGTCAGAAGGATATATGTTGAGGTACAGACAGGAAATCTTGCAATCAATTTTCTGAGATTGATTGTCTTGCACACATGTAAGTGTTAGGGTCTTAAAATGTAAGTTTCTATTGGGTAAATTGGCATTTCACAAGATGAGGACTCTGTTAGAAATGTTAGAGTTTTGCCTCTAAAGGCCATACAAAAGGGGCTACTATAATTATTCACAATGGAAAGAGATGGACAAAACAGCAAACAAGTTTTTACAAGATTTTTTGTAAGATTATAATAACCTGGAAACTCAATTTTTCTGTATTTATCAGCATCTGTAGTAATATCTTTCTCTGTATAATCCTAATACAATCTCTTGGCACTGATGAAACCTTAAGGAATTCATAAATCAATAGATCAAACTTTTTATCTGAGGCAAAGGAAGCACAAACCCTCACATGGATAATACACGTACCTAGATTTTAGTGATTTAAAATAAAACTATTTGAGAATGCCATTTTATTGCATTTATTGTAATATTTATAAATAAAATTTGTCATTATATACATATCATTTCGATATACATGTATGTACAAAATATACAACTTATTCATATAAAATAACAGATCAAGCAGTCTTATGGAATTCTTAAGTTTTTAAACAAATAACAAACTAATAAACAATAATACATTAATCACACCAAGTCAGGCTGTGAACCTCTTGCATGATTTTCATAATCTATAAAAACACATTAGTAAAATAGCACTAACTTTCATTGTCACAGAAGATTATTATTAGTCTTAAGACAATCCAGAATAGTTACTGTAAATTCAGAAATTATTGTAAGGTTTTCATAAATGCGAATATTGCTACTGGGTGATTATTGCAATATAAATAAGAACTTGCATTCTGATACATTTTTCTGTATGCATATCTCTGTCTGAATACCCAATAATTAATCTTGAATTTTGTCAAAATTGCAATAAATGCTTTCAAAAATTTCTGTATAACAGTACCTAAAATGGGAGATAACTTTTTCTCTAATTTTGCACATAATCTCTTAATTTTTCACAACATTCTTTATAGATTTAATGACATTCATTTAAATAAATAAATTTCCTGTTGGAATTTCCGAATTGTTACTTGCATATCAACTTGGCAACTTTCTTTTTATAGGGGAGACAAAATGAATCAAGCTATATTGTTGATTTTTCACAGAATAATAAGGAGCCAAAGCCTCAATTTTGTTCATGAACATGAAATTCCCATAACTAAAATGTATTGCATTCAATGGTATATACCAGAATTTTCTTATATAATTCTAAAAAGGGACTGTCTATATCAAAACTGAAAAAAATGCTCAAATTTATGATTTTGAACACTTAGGCATGGGACGCAAAATTACAATAGGGAAGACTGTACAAGTTTTCTGATTGTTTTACCCTCTCTATGACATAAGATCAACAATGACAGTAGAAATAAACAGTAAAAATCAACTAGAGAAGAACTTGACACATCAGATTAGTATTGTGGCCAAGGAATAAATAAAAGTAAAACATAAATAGATTTACCTTCCTCAGGAAAATTAAGTGCCAAATGTTCGAAAAACTTCAAGTGCAAAAATACATTTAGACCTATATTACCAAAAGGGTCTATTAACAGTAGCAGAATGTCATCATTAAATTAAAAAAGAACCTGTTCATGTGTCCACTAATTGTCTTGCAAATTATCAGTTCAATTCTAGTTTTATTATAAGCTTTTCAAAAAACTGTTTGATATTGAAATTAATATTGTTATGTGAAAGAGCTCAATTCAAGTGACTTTACATTTGATTTATCAGAGTATCTCCCCATCAATACCTGTACTATTTTGGTTATAATATTGGACATTCTAAATCAAATAGAATTGACACTTTGCTAGTTGGTTAACACATACATGTTTTATGTTGTAAATATTAATTTTACACTTGTATATAGAATGTGCTTAATTTCTATTGAAATATTCTAACATCTAACATATTATTAAGTATGAAAATCTAAAACATATTTAATACTGTGATGTATATTAGATAGTATATGGTTAAAGATAAGGCTAATTGTAATAAATAAAATCAACACTATTGTTATTGAAACATGTTTTCAATTTTAAAATATTGTAAATATTCCTAGGAGTAATATTTCTATTTGGTAAGAAAGACCAGATATTCTCTTTACAAATATCTTACTCTTTAAGTCAATGACATTTCACTATGACTTATCACTATAAAGATTTTTTTGGTAGAAAAGAGCCAATGATGTGTTAAATGTATGGCTGATGTTTGAATTTGATGGTTTTAGTCACAGAAAAAAATGTCAACAAAATTCTCGGTAAACGAAAATATTTCTATGCAAATTTATGCTGTGTGTTTTGAGTACAGAAATATTCAACAAACATACTTTTTTACATGTTCATATAGGAATATGTTAAAAGAACACTTTCCATCCATGTTGACTATTTATCTATATTGCATACTGAGGGTAGAAAAATTAACCAATCATATAATGCAATTTTTTTAACAATTTAAATATGTCAAAGGTCATTTCATCTTCATTTCATACTGTTGGAAATTTTTTAAAGAAATCTCAGCTAATTTAAGATGAAGAACATGGAAATGACTAATAAATTGCAAGTATTATTACTTTTTAAAATGAAATATAATGAACGCCCATGTAATTAATCGGTCAACTATAGATACAAACATTCTTCTCTTATGACATAAAACAAGAAAACTTTGTTCAATCAATTATAAATGATTTTCCTTTTTTAAAAAATTAAAATATTCCACCAATGTACAATCAGAACTGTTAACAAAGTTAACTACTAAAAATTTACCTTTGTAGAACAACATGATCATTTTTTTATGCATCAAATTAAGATTACTTATACATGTAGCAGTATCAAGCTATTTAAAAGTTTAAACAAAAAGTGGAAAAAAATGGATAATCAAACTGACAAAGACTAAGATTTTATTCAAGGCATTTTAATTCCTATTTAGGATTAATATTTCTTCTATGTTTTCTTTAGTCAATTGGATCAAAAAGTTACTTTTGCCAAGATTAAGAAATACTCTTTTACATGTCCTCTGATCAATAATAAAAATATGATAATAGGCTATTCCATTTAAATGAATGTGGGAAAGTAGGAAGGGACACTGAAAATAATCTTCAACCAATTTTAGTTTTGAGTAAATTTCAATACACTAAATGGACATACTACACCTATTACAAAAAGATGTACCAATATCCAAAAATTTATCTTCTCTTCCTACCATACCACATTTAGTTTAATGGAATGGTCCTAATTCAAACATAAAAAAAAATGTAATTTATTTCACAATTAGATTCCATACAAATTTCTCAAAAATAAACACTTTCAGATACACACAAAATATTTCAAAGTTTCCCCACATATATACAATAATCTCTAACAACATGTTTTATAGATCTCCATATTATGGCAGTATGTGAATCACAAATATTCGTTAGATAGAATAAAATATTTCCTCATGTATGTGAAATAATTAACCAACTTATTACAAAATAAAACAGAAAAATTGGATATACTGCTAAAGCTTTTCTTTTTGGAGGCTGTGATTCTGCTAAAAATGCTGTAGATGCTGGAAAAGAAGAAAAGTAACATCTTATTATAGGTGAAAATTTCTACCGAACATGTAACTTTGTGTTGCTCAATCTTTTAATAGTCTTCTACGTTGTGTTTTGCGGATTTAGTTCTCTATACGCCATTTCCCTTTTTTGCAATGACACTATCGATTTTTCTTTGTCTTTTGAGTTATGAATGTCCCCTTGGTTTACATAAGGGAGTATTGAAATGTTATACAATTTTTTTTCACATATGAAATGCACTGTAAATGACGTCTTCTGCTTAGTTACTATTTCAGGTACTCTCTAGTTTCAAATTAACACATAAACAAATATTTTATTGTTCATTTGCACTTTTTCTTACTGAATTAAGTAGTTCCTATAAAATGATAAAACCCACATGTATGTCTATGTTTCTAGTAAATAATCTACAAATGATGTTTTGAGTATGGATGCCCATTGGTTAATCACTAATATCTGCTAAGAGGCATAACCCATAACAGGGGATAAACATTTTAAAATAGTATGCCTATGCTAGCTTATGGTCATCAGTGTGTGAAACTAGTTTCTCTTCCTTATATTCAGTGGTGTAATGCTGATGTTTTTTATTGGAAGTGTCAAGTTTCTGTTAATCATAATGTTTGATAGTTTGTCATAATCAAGAAATTCTGTGGTTGTCCTTTTTTATGGTCAACTATTGATCATACAACGTATTTCTTTTTAACCTTCAAAATCTTTATTTCTGAGGAAAAACCTTTTTCATTATCATATTGTATGACATTGATCATGGAAACTTTAAATTATACGCATATAGTTATTGAAAAGATAAATTAGCAATATATTTTCTTTTAACTATTGCAATTATTATTTAAGGAATGACTGTAATATTTTTTCTGTCTATGAGGAAATAACATCAAAAATGTGGTGCACACTGAATAACCCGCGTAGCGGGTTATTTTAAAGTGTGCATCACATTTTTTATGTTATTTCGAATAGACAGAAAAAATATTACAGTCATTTCTTATAATTTAATTCTAAATTCCATTTTTAATCGGGGTAAACCATGAAAAAACGTTGATGACGTCACGGTCACATGACAAAATTATGTCTATGAGCTGATAAACAAAACAACGTCAGCCAATCAGAAAACGCGTTACATCCAAAATTAAATTATTAACACAGACATATCTAATTTTCAATAAGATTTTATACTTACCAAAAGTTGACCATGCAAATGCTACGACCACAACAATAAATCTAATGACAAAAAGTGGTGTTGTCTGCTGAGCAATTAATATAAGTCGACATATAATCAAGGAAACAGTTAATGGACACACACAGTAACCCAATACACAAATACTTTGGAAAAATGATCTGAAATAAAGGATATTATTTCTGTAACTACATGTGAATCTGTGTTGTTTAAACCACCAATCTCTTAATCCCTGAAGACAACTAAATATATTTCACAATTGTAGAAACCAGAAAATAGCTTCAGGTATTATAAAGGATACCATATTTAACTTATTCTAAATGTGACTGTCCCAAGTCAGGACCATGTAAAACAAGTGTAATTGAGTGGTTGCCGTCTTTCAGATTTGGTGGTATTTATTTTTAGTTTTGTCATGTTTTGTCAGATCAGGCTGTTGGTTTTTTCCTTTCACATTGTGTCATGTCTGGGCCTTTTAAAGCTGACTTAACAGTATGGGTTTTGCTCCTTGTTGAAGGCTGTATAATGACCTATAGTTGCTTAAATCCATGTCATTATGATTTTGATGGATTGTTGTCTCATTGGCAATCATATCCCTTCTCCTTGCTTCATATTATTAAACGCAAAATTTTATTTTTTCCATTACCTTTGAGTCAAATGTTGGATTGCTGCTCTGATATAAGTAGCCTCATAATTCTTAATATGTATTGATAATTCTTTGGATGTTGTCTTACTTAGGTGTCATTCTTTTTTTTTCAAGTCTTATTCACCAACATAAGCTCAGAGAGTATCAATACAGAAGTAAATCATTACAGAATAAATATCTTATGATGGCTTATCAAAATAGTAAGACTTTTCAAGCAATTGTATTTGTCAACACAATATCTAATATTCCCAACACATAATTGATCTTTTATAGAATCTGAACAATTCAGAGCTTGACATATATTGTACAAGCATAGATCTGATTATTGTTGAAGACAATGTTCTTAAATAAAACTTCTAGATGTTTACCCATTATTTTTGTTGTTGGATGTCTGATTCAATGACATATACCATTTTATAGTTACTGCAAAAAACCTATTAAATCTAAAATCAACCATACAATACTGACTAAGCTATTTTTTAATAGGCTTTGAAAACAACTTCAAAATATATTATATTATAAGTAAACCAACTCTTAATTGGAATGGACTACTTGACATGTATATCTCCTATTACAATGAGCACTCAAAATGACGTTAGTGTATTAGCTTGAATATTACAAATGTTGCGATACAATTTTCTTCTTTTTTTGGTGTGCTTTTATACCATACAATGGTCATGTACATGTACTAGAGTCAAATTATGAAATGCATTTTTTTCCCATGAAACATATATTCACTTGTCCTTAATATAAAAATAAGGAGATGAGGTATGATTGCCAATGAGACAACTATCCACCAAAGTTCAAATGAAGTGGATGTAAGCAATTATAGGAAACCGTACGGCCTTCAACAATGAGAAAAACCCATACCGTATAGTCGGCTATAAAAGGTCCAGACATAAAAAATATGAAACAATTCAATTGAGAAAACTACTGGCCAAATTTATAACAAAACAATTTACCAAAAAAATGATCGACATGAACCAACGACAACCACTAAACTACAGGCTAAGTTTAAGCTTACCATCACAATGGTATAAGGTAAGAGTCTGGACTCATCCTGATCATTTAAACAAATAGCAAGGTGTTGTTGATCTATCCCCTCGAGTTTATGGTTAATCCAGAAATTGTAACAAAACCTTGCAGGTTTGGCGGTCGACCTTACAACCTTGATGTATCATTTAAAAGAATCAGTGACCTTTGATAATGTAAATAAACAGCTGCGCCATGAGCGCATGATACGCCCGTCGTCTTGTGTGTGAATTTTTATGCAATAAGCATAAATAGTTTCTGACATACGGCGTGACATGCGAAAACCCCATTTTTTTTTTACCAAAAACTCAATATCTCTAAAATAAAATTTTGAATCAAAACCAAAAAGTATACAGATCTTACGATTAATATAACTAAGAAGTTTGTAAAATTTTAAGCAATAATCATAAATCGTTTTTGAGATACGGCGTGACATGTGAAAACCCCCCTTTTAAAAAAATAAAATCAATATCTCAAAAATAAAATTTTGAATCAAAACCAAAAAGTATACAGATCTTTAGATTAATATAACTAAGAAGTGTGTAAAATTTTAAGCAATAATCACAAATCGTTTTTGAGATACGGCGCGACATGTGAAAAACCCCTCCCCCTTTTTTTACAAAATACTCAAAAACTCAAAAATAAAATTTTGAAATTACCAAAAAGTATACAGATCTTAAGGTTAATATAACTAAGAAGTGTGTAAAGTTTTAAGCAATAATCATAAACTGTTTTGAGATACGGCGCGACATGTGAAAGACCCCTCCCCCTTTTTTATCATAATACTCAATATCTCTAAAATGAAATTTTGAATCATCACCAAAAAGTATACAGATCTTAAGATTAATATAACTAAGAAGTGTGTAAAGTTTTAAGCAATAATCATAAATTGTTATTGAGATACGGCGCGACATGTGAAAAAAAACACACACCTGTTTTAGTTACTAAGTCCCGTAACTCAAAAAGTTTTAATCTTATTTTCACCACAAAGTATACAGATCGTTTGAACATCATAAGAAACAACTATGTTAAGTTTCATGAAATTTGGATAAGTCATTCTCAAGTTACGTCAAAAATTGACCGGCGTATAAAAACCAATTTATTTAAATGGTTTGTTTGCTTATAAGTGACCTGGTGACCTGTGACACATATTTATAGTCTACTTACATATTTCCCCCTAATAATTTTGTATTTAATGTGACAACCATAGCGCCAACCCAGTAAATTACAAAAACTTCTGCAAACTGAGGTCCACCGTCGGATACTTTGTCATTTTTACCATGTGATCCCTCCAACATCCTGGTAAGACAAGACAAAAAACGTATTTTAGATGTTAAAGTGTGACAGATGTGGTTTAATTGTCACCTCATAATTACAGAATTAAAAGTTAATAATCTTCCATTACATTGATGGACTACTGAAACTTGCAGAAAAAGAAGCATACATATCTTTTGAGGGGCTTATGTTAACAATTCATTTTTAACTACTATGCTTTTTGGACAATTACTGTGACTTGACTTTGAGTGTTGCTCTCCACCTATTGCAGTTTATTCAAAATTTTGACCAAATTGCAATTTATTTTATCAAAGCAAACTGTTCAACTGGTCAGAAATTTCAACTAACTGCTGTAGAAAACCACAGTGTAGTCATGAAAGTGCAAAGTGATAAAATAAAGCATATTTACAATCCAATTCGACCTTGCACTCTCACAACTTGACTGGTTTTCTACAGTAGTTTGTTAAAATTTCTGACCAGCTGAACAATTTTGTTTGAATTTTTAGTAAACTGCATGCAATAAGTGGAGAGCAACACTTACAGTCAAGTCACAGTAACAAAAAGTTTATGTTCATTTCACTGATGGTCAATAATGGTCAAATAAGATTTATGGACTTTAATTTTAATTTTTTATCAAATAATTATAAATGAAACTACTACAGTAAAATGTGAAAATATTTGTGTCAATGCACAATTCATTCTTTTGGTTTTCAAATAAACAAACAAAAAACTATTTATTAAATATTGTGTAAATTTATAGTGTCAAGTTAAAAACACTTGAATTGTAGAATAATACAAAAACATGTCTTAAAGCATTTAACTTGCACAACAGTTATAATGTCTCAGTATATCAATCAAACTAGTTGTCCTCCTGACATACTTACATTGCCATAAATACACATAAAACAAGAGGTCCCCACAGATCCCCTGAAATATAAATTATTTGTTATAATTACATAAAAACATTGTTTTGACTTCAAATATTCAATTATAATACTTTACATTTTAATGTCCAAATTATTATATACCGGTACATGAAAACATAAGAGAATCTAAATTTTACCAAAACAAATTCATACTTGTTTGAAGAATACCTTAAGTGCAACTTTATACCATACACAGATTTTTTTTAGGTCAAATAGAAAAGTGAATTGAGGGTTCAGTGATTTCAATGGCATTTTTTTAATATAATAGGTTTAATACTTTATATAAGCTTACTTTCGGAAAACGTGTGCATTCTCTAGTATTGTATTGTTTTACTGGCTCAGAATAGTTGTTGTTTATTCTTGACTGTTTCATAGAGTTAAGTGCTATTTCTGAACTGATCTGTTTTGTACGTTCTTCTATTTACCTTTTGTTATTCCAGATTTCAATTTCAACTGAGGCACATGCACCTGTCAAGTCAGGAACCTTGTCAGTGGGTTCTTTAGTTATATCTTGATGTTTTTGTCCTTTATGGAACTGTGTGTTTATGGCTTTTATTAAAGTCTATGTTAAATTTGTTCATAACTTTTCTAAACTCCAGGCCATTTAGAGCTTGACATATTGTAAAGACTTGTCTTATAAAGAAAACTGATAGCAAAATGTCTTTTGGTTTGATTTGTTGTTTGGTTGTTGTCTCGTTGACTTATACCCACATCTCATTTTAATCATATTGGTTTGCTGGACTTGTCAGACAGGATTAGTCATGGACAACTAATAAATACTCTGGTAGATTTTTTTTTTCAAATATAAAAGATTTCAATAAAACTGCTCACCAATCAACTCAACATTAAAACAAGAGGCTGTCAGAGTGATAGCAAACCGGATTTTCCTGCAGAGGCCGAACCCTGAACAGTTAAGCAAGTATGGACACAACATTTAAGCTTAAAACAGCTCTGAATTTGGATTGTGATTGAATATTTGACACAGCATAGGTTTGTGACACAAAATAAATGTGGATATTTGACACAGCATAGGTTTGTGACACAAAATAAATGTGGATATTTGACACAGCATAGGTTTGTGACACAAAATGAATGTGGTCAAAGAACTGAAAATTTTGAAATCAGACATTTACCTATTATGATCCAATATCCAAAATCTAAGTACATTGTTAGATTCAGCATATCAAAGAACCCCAAGAATTCAATTTTTGATGAAATCAAACAAAAGTTTAATTTAGGACCCTTTTGACCTCAATGTGGTATTATCTAATTAATAATGCAAATAAATACAGGTTTAGATTCAGCATTTCAAAGAACCCTATATATATTCAATTTATGTAGAAATCAAACACAGTATAATTTTGGACCCCGATTTGGACCAACTTGAAAACTGGGCCCAAAATCAGAAATCTAAATATATGTTTATTAATAGACAATATAAGCTTAGTTTTAACTTGAAAACTGGGCCCAAAATCAGAAATCTAAATATATGTTTATTAAAAGACAATATAAGCTTAGTTTTTAAAGGAGTTCGCTTCATAAAAAAAAAACATATATATATAGCATTCAGAAAATTGGTTTAAACAGAATAACAAACAAACCTACCACAAAATTCTTCAAACAATTTACCAAAGAAAAGAAAAAAATCATTCCAAAATATCATTTATCGTTAATACAATGTCTTTTAAAAAACTTATCTGTAATTATCTTCAAAATGTCTAATAATGAACAGTAAATTTCAAATTATATTTATACCGTCCCACAGAGCTTATCATGCTTATCATCATCAACATTTAGGAAACTGAAAATTTTCAAATAAATCTGTCACTCCAATTATAATTGTGTGATTGATATTTACCACATGCTTTCTTATTTGATAACAAATGAAAATTATTTAAAAACACTTTATGTAACTTTATATATATAATTAATAGTTCCCAATATTTTTTCTTTCATTTGTCACAAACTAATATAGATCTGCAACTTATCAATCAATGTCAACAACTTTATCTACACCATGTAATGTAATGAAATTTACCCTTTATAATAATAGAATATTATCTAATGAAAATGATATTTGCAAATCTGGACCCCCAAACAGGATCAAGTAAAAATTAAACATTAACACACACAAAAAAAATAAAATACCACATAACTGTGACATCTACCTTCAAAACACACATGACTTAAAAAAAATAGTTATAAAGAAATTTTTGACAGCTCCTGACTAAAATCAATTGAACAGATACAATCATTGATAGACTATCTATACATAAACATATTGATTACACCATTTCTGTTCAAAGGGAAATAACTCAATCATATAATAAATCACTTTTGGCTACTGAAAGGTCTACAACTCAACGACGAGAAAAGCTAAAATTGTGAAAATTGCCCGCCCGCCCGCCGTCCATCCCCAAATCAATAACCTATCTTTCCTTCGAAAATCCGGTTAATGAAAACTTAAGAAAGATCTGAGACCTTAAATGGAAGTTTTATCAGCTTTTTGACAGCTTAGCTGTAATAAAATGGGTCAGGACTATAATCATGATAATGAAATTTCGCGATTGTTGGATTTCTAAAGATTTGCTTGGTCCTTTTTTTTAAATAATTTTAGATTCAACTATGTTATCCTCACCTTCCCACAAAATGTAATTAAGAAAAGTTAAATGATACTTACATTCTTTTAATAATGTTTTACTCTGTTTTGGATATAACACATGCCAAAATTTAATTCCTACTGCTTTCAGATCTCGTAACTGAAATGCACAAATACATACAGTTACATGTATGACTATCTAATACAATGTCAGTTGTACCACTAACAGTTTCTTCTTAAATCACAACATTTTAATTCAAGGTATGATATATCAGAAAATTTCTGACAGTTACCATCAATTACTTTAATAATCATTTTCACCACAAAATGAGTATCATAAATGTGTAAATTAGTGGGTGTTGTAAACATTTGCTTGCACAAAAAGGTATAATGGAGGTATACCATACAATTATAGCCTTTTGATAAAATCAAGATCTTCTTTCCAAAAATAAAAAGTCATTTATATAAAAAAAAAAAGTAAGGAGACATTGTAGGGTAGAATTACCATTGAGACAGCTTTCCTCAAAAAACAAAAGACAAGGATAAGAACAACAACAGGTCACCGTAGATACATGTACAATGTAGTTTACATTCACAAGACAGCAGATAAAGTTTAAAATGTCTTATCATTAGTCTTGTAGGATCTCAAAACTAAATAGTAGATTGATATCGACATGCTACAGCTGCAAATATCTTTACTGGTGATTGCACAATCCAAATTGGTTAGAGGATGTTTTTTCAGTGAGCATTCTTTAAAATTTATTTTCTAAATTCAAACAGGAAATTTTATCTTTTATCTTTATAAAATATTATCTTACTAAACCTATGTAACTTATTGTAATTATTACATATATAGGATTTAAATACATTACAGTCCAAATGTACTGTACAATTTTAGACATCCTTCATGGGAAAATAATAACTTTAATATAACATAAAATCAATTGAAACCCAAAATCAACCATGCATAACAAAAAATATATATCTTTTTACCATGTTTTTACCCGTAAATGTATATCAACTTATTTTTGCATGTCTTACAATAGTATCTTTGACAGGTTCATCAAGGGTATTAAATTCATCTTCATCTGTTTTCAAGCCTGGAGCTGAAATGTCACCCTCTAAGGGGACATCATTCATCCCCTAAAAAAGAAATAAAAAATTGTAATGAGATGAATCAACTTCATATTTGTAGTTTCAAAAAAATACATATCAACCATACCAACACCACCCCTCTTTCTGTGAATCATTTACTTTCCTGTTCATTAAAACTTTATCTTAAAAGATTATGTTATATTTTCTAACTTGAGTCAGGCAATTATAATCAATTAATTCTGTCTCGCATAGACAAACATTTTTTTTTAATTTCTAATACCAGTATTCATAATTGCACATACTAATGACAATAAATCAAATAGTGAATTAGAATGTTTCAGGCAAAAAGATCATAGGTACTTGGGGACAGGCCATTTTTTTTAACCCTCCCCCTAATAAGCCTAATTCCAAAATCAGCAATTTTTTTGTTATCTATTAGTTCCAATTATTTTCATGTTTTTCTGAATCATATGAACATAAATATATTAGAAATAACTTGTATTTGCTATTTACAATCAATTAATTCCAAGTTTATTATCCACTGCAGTCACTGATTAACATAGAGAGAAGGTATCTCGCTTCGTACCTTACCACCTATTTAACTACATGAATTCTATGAGGAATCCAAATTTGTAAAATATTTAATTTGCTTCGGGTCAGTGGGCATGATTCTTTTCCGCTATCATCCCTCTTTATAAGCAGTCGGATATTTTAATGAAATTCGACATCTGTCGGCAGAACGGATCAATTTTGCTCGTCTTCGTATCTTGACTCTTAAATGATGGAATTTTGTATGGGTGACAACTCTTTTTTTCTTTCTAAAATAGATACAAGACAGAGAATGTCCGGAAATTATGGTTCCCTGTTCGCAATTATGTTAAATACAGAAACCAGAGTAAGAGCTCTTCGATCTTGTGTTGTACAGTGTTGTAAAGTCAGCAACAACCGACAAACCAGAAATCAACATGATCAAAGCTAAAGACGCAACACTTGGCAAATATCTGTGAAAATACTATTTTTGATAATTTTGAAGTAACCTGCGCTAAAGCAGAAGTAACTGGCTGAATTTGCTGGTTCCCGGCTTCAAATGACATCCCTGATGCATACATGTATATTGGGCTAACTACAGTAGGTTATTTTTCTTCTCACCAAAATAAATCACTTGTGAACATTAGTTGGTTTACAGTATATCATGTACAACACTGCAAACAAAACAAAATATATTAGTGAACTCTGGTACCCCTTATAGCTATGTGTCCCCATTACTGGCCAACAAATGTTCCTGTAATATATTAACACGCCATAAGAGAAAATGTCTGATGCCACAATGAACAGATTGTTGTTTAACGACAATAGTTCTTAATCTAGGGTCAAGTGAATACTGATAGGGCATGTAGGGTCTATACACCAATCTATAGTTGTTTTTCTGAATGAGTTACACTGGTTGACCTGAGGTCAATCGATGTAAATGACTTCAATGAACAATCGGTTCTTACTGTGACATAATAACATAAGTGTTGTGACATAGGAAATGTACGGAAAAGTGCACAAATAATAAAAATTTGGAGTTGTCTATATATTATTCGTGGATAAAAAGACCAGGATTCCTTTGAGATGGTGTCCGTGATGTTGAAACAAGTACGATAGGTTAACTTGTTGGGCTGTTTTTTTCAAATCAAAAAAAGTATAATTTGTATAGACTTGTCTATTTGGTCAGGTGGTGTAATACTAGTGATAGCCAGTGCTTTCAAAAGACAAAACATAGTAGTCTCGTGTTGGTGTTGGACTTTTATGTTGAGGCAAATGTTCGAGGGAATATTTCATAGATTGAAATTGTCGAAATGAAATCATTTACGACATCAAAAGAGGAGCAATGTCATCCGTGTTTCATAGGGCTGAGAACACTCTTAATATTTCGTTAACCTCCTGTTCATGAAAATCCACGTCAGCCATGACAGCAAATTAGCCTTTCGATAAATGATGCATAATGAACTATCATTGACAGTGACACCACAGTCTAAAGAAGTACAGAATGAAATTACCGGAATTTCCGATGGGAGATAACCGATGCAAATATGGTACAGACAACGTGAAAAATTGGCATTACTTTAATTTTTCAAACTATGCAAAAAGAGCAATGGTGACAAGTGGTTTTCTTGCAGTGTATCTCCTGTCTGTTTTGACACTAACATATTGCACAAACGATGACGACAAGACAGTATTCTCAGGGAAAATAATGCCACTGGAAAGATGTAAGAAAATTCTCACTGAGTCTCTTTTAAATTAACAGATTTTAAAAATCTGTTAATTTTAATCATGAAATGCTTTTTGTAATAATCGATTTTCAACTCAGCTCATTTTTTGCGTAAATTTCCTATGTTGCAATGCTTTTGATATTACATCATCGTAAGAACAATTGAAGTCATTTATTGTCCACGATGTAATACACCAATCTCAAGTTGTTTTTTATGAATGAGTTACACCCGTTTACCCAAGATCAATTGGTGTAAATGATGTCATCATAATATCTGTTCTTACTATGTATATAAACTTCTGTATTGTGACATAGGAAATTTACGGGAAATTGCACGAATTCAGAAGTCATCTATTAATTCATAAAAAAAAACAACGTGAAATTGGTCTATACACTTTATCATTATTTTCTCGCAATTACTGGCCATCTCAGACATTTCTGTAAAATTTTGATGTCATAAGTCTAGAAGAAGGGTCTAATTTAAATAAGTTATTATAGGATTAAACGCTTTTTTAAAGGAATTTATTGGTGTATAAACTCGACCAATTCACTCACAAACAAATAAAAGTCCGAAGGACTTTTATGATATGTTTGTGAGTGGCTTGGTCCAGTTTATACACCAATAAATTCCTTTAAAAAGGCGTTTAATCCTTATAATTCTTTAAAATTGGAGATAAAGAATTGATTTTTCCACATTCGTAACCTCTATCACACGTTTATTGTATATTTGTGTTATTGAATTGGCCTGGTGCATGAATATATGTGTTGGTTAACGCAAAAATATGTACTCCGTGAAATTTGCTATCTGATAAAAAAGAAACTACAAAAATAACTTGTTATCATTAAAATGAATGTTTTTGTGTTTATTGTTTAATTTAACGATTAGCGCGTAGTGAACATAAATATTTTTAACGTCGAGCCAGATTGTGTGATCATCGCCACCATCTTGTTTAAATTGGTTACAAAAAGTAGTTCGGTCAACGTCGTCTATCGAAAAATAAACAACGTCAAGATCCACTACCGGAAGCCCTCTCGGCCAATCATATTAACGTATTCCCTAATATGCAAACCATATAAGAATTATTAGAGAAAAGGAACATACATGTCGTTAGTGTGGGCTAAAATATCAAAAAACTGTGATAACATATGTATGTTACATGTTTCAAAGAGGCAATATACATCCTTTACTTTGTTAAATTGTATACAAGTTCTACTGGTATAATTATTGTCTTTATGTATACTAAACTTTAGAAAGATATAACAGTTTATAATTTGCCTATCATGTCAGTCAGGGGTACTACTTGTACAAGTAATCTTTATTTACTTGAAGAAGTTAATAATAATATACTTATATAAGTAAATTTTGTTATGTTCATTTTTTCTTATAATGTTTGAATAATCTCCCCTTAATTTTCTCAAAAATTTACTTGTATAAGTAAATTTTTTTTACAATCCCTAAAATTCTCAAGTTTTCAGATGTAAAAAACAAGCCTTTAACAATTTTTCTCAGGTTAGCTCATAATTTTTAATTAGAGTTCAATGTTTCATCTCATTAATTCAACAAAGAAACTAATTGTGCAAAGATCTTAATTATTTGCACATGGCCTTCAAAAATTGCCCCTTGGGGGCTTGTAAATGAGCAGTGTTCTGAAGATAACAGACAAATGAGATTTTCATTGTCCATGAACCACTTAAATGATTAGTAAAGACATCTGCAAAGGACAGACTATTAAAAACTCTATTGGAGCAAAGAAGTCCTGAGAAATTCAAGAAAAGAATATAGTATGACTTTTTTACTTGTATAAGTAAAAAAATCTGAATAACTAAGGGACATAACTTGGCTAATAAAATAATTTACCTATACAAGTAAATAAAATACACTTGTGTAAGTATCCTACAAATTTACTTATATAAGTATATTAATATTTACTTCTTCGAGTAAATAAAAATTACTTGTACAAGTAGTACCTCTGACTGCATGTATAGTACACCTATGTTATTACAGAAAATATATGCCTGTAATAACTAAAGGGTGTTATTACAGCTTTTCTACATCTCTTCAAAGCCATTTCTCAGACATATATCACAATGTATTTTAATTCATTGTAAGAAATAATGATCAGAGCATGTAATGAGGTTCTGAGCAAGCTTCCCAGTAATTCCCAAGTGTCTCATTTTATAAGTTACATGCCTGTAATAACTAAGCCTTCTTGTTACAGCTTAGTGTATCCCTTAAAAGCCTTGTCTCATTGATTTACCACGGTTGATCAAAAATGTATTAATTGAATTGGAAAATTATTTATCAAGGTTATGCATTAAGTTTCTGCGCAAAGTTTAAAAAAAAACCCAAGAGCCCACTAAAAATGAAAATATATTTTGATATATTAACTAATAACAAACATATGTTACTACAGATTAAGAAATAAAGAGCAGACAACTCATGAAAGTAACTGTAATAACACATGTATGTTATTTTTCTCTAATAACTCATTTAAGTTAGACCCTTGACTGAAGAGATTGTTGTATCTGAAGTTAGCAACTATATGTCACCATACCTCCTTCAACAATGAACAAAACCCATACCACATAGCAAGCTATAAAAGGCTAGTTAATTTAATTTTATTCGGACTAAAGTATTTCAAAAGTTTGAGAAACATAAGAAAAATGTCAGAATATTGGTTTTCGGACTAGTAGTTAGAAAACATTTTTTTGCAGACTGTTATTGTACAAAACAACAACGAAAAACAAATATGATATACATGTACATCAACAAACGATAAACACAGAATTACGGGCTCCTGACTTGGGACAGGCATATACATAATGTGGTGGGGTTAAACATGTCAACATCACTTGACATCTGAGGTAAAAACTGCTATCACAGAGTATGAAAATAAAACATTATAGATTTGGTACAGCACAAGCGCTTTTCTGGATTTACCTTTGAACACAAGGAATGCTGAAATCAAAATGGGAAAACCAAGGATTTTTATAAATGCTTGAATACTTGAACAGCTATATATGACCGAAATGGCCTAAATAGAAGGGTCTGTCTTTTCAAAGCCGAACACCACGGAACACCCTAAAAGTTAATTAACACTACGAAAAAACAATAATGTGTCAATAAAAGCAGAAAACTGTTGAATTTGTTGATATTTTTAATTATTGCAATTTCAAAGAATAATTAAAAAGGGGAATACACACAGTGGTAATGAAAGTCTTTATTTTAGCTTTTGTTTCAGTAAATCAACTATATATATATTGGTCGTGCACCAGTCAACGTCATTATTGATTTTTTTTCCAGATTAAATGTCTATTTCAATATAATTATTGAAGGTATTTTTTTGGTTCTGGGCAGATGAATTCTTTTTAAATTTTTTCAATATAAATATTTATGTAATTTTTAGGGTCTGTTTTGTCATTGTGTAGTTCAATTTCTCCTTCCTGATCCTTCCTTAGTTTTTTCAAGGATTTGTATAGTAAGACACAAAGTATAGATCTGAGAGTACTCAGTACTTACTATACAAATCCTTGGTTTTTTAACAAAGAAATATAAGTTATAGTTCTTAATAGATATTTATTAAAAATGACATCCATCAACTTGGTCCTTTCTTATCATCTGCTCCAACTTTGTTCTGGAGGTAATGTTTAGTGCAGAGAAGTCGTGTACAATATTATTTTACTTAACAATTTTATAGCACGAGAGCTTGGATGACAGCAACTGTTTTTTTCAAATAATATTACGGTAAAATGTCGTTTAAGGAAAGTTTGTCTTTTTTATTCTGGACAAAAATGATACTCCATCGAAATATCATTTTATAAATACGTGAAATAGATAAGATAACATAATAAAATATTGTTTTTTTTTCCATAGTTTAAGATCATTTTGGGGTGTTCTGCAGTGTTTTGCGGTGTTCGCTGGTGTGCGGTGGTGTTCAGCGGTGAAAAGACCTACTGTAAATAGAATAGCCAAATCCACCTTGGGTCTACTAAGTTTCTAAATAATTCTAAAATATATATATCAACAGAAAATTTAAAAAAAAATTAATACTATAACAATTATATAGTTCGTCCTAAAAATGTAGATGTTAATAGATATCTAAAATCCAAGATTGCTACCATTGCAGAAGATACATTTGCCATGAGAACAATTTTGAATTTACTTTGAAACCATGTAATGTATTTAGATTTTTAAAGTGCATAAAACCATTTTCTTGAATTCTGTATGACTGTTATTATTTCCTTTTCAGATAAAAGATTATTTGTGGAACACAGACACATACAATTAGAGGCGGTGAAGTCATTACAAGGTTTTGATGACAATACCAGAAAATATAAACTAGTCAATGTTATGTTACAGAAGTTATTCTTGGTAGGTATAGTATAAAAATAAGAAGATGTGGTATGATTACCAATGAGACATCTCTCAACTAGAGACCAAATGACGTAGAAGATAACATGGGACACCATATGGCCTTCAACAATGAGCTAAACCCATAGAAGTCTTCTACTGTTACTGTCTCAGAAAAGGAACATTTCTTTCGGTTATTACTGGTTGGTAAGAAAAGATTATTTTTAGTGTCCATAGTGATAGATCTGTCTTTTTAATGCTATGATTGATGATTTTTTTTCTTTTATGAAACGAAAATAACAAATAAAACAGTATAGTCCTCCTGTTTTCTGACAGTTCAGAAATACTCTTTGTTTAACAAGTTTAATTTGTCTATGAAATCAGTTCTATTTTTTGTTTGTATTTTATTTTATAGCACATACACCTGACATACACCTGTATATAATTGATGATATGACACATTCAAATTATTTGAATGAATGGTGATTAAATTTAACAACATTTTAATATGAACATTAGTGTCAAACATCTGTGTCTTATATAGGTACTTTCTTACCTCCATATTCCTCCTAGGTATTGAGTTTTCTATTTTGTCTAGATAATTTTGGTAAAAATTCTCCAGTAAACATGCATTGTTTCAAAGTCAATTTGCAAGAGAAATTTCAGTGGGATAAAGTTAAATGATTGTGTTTCAATGCAATCTAATTGTAGAAGCCAATAATTTAACATTTGATTGCTGAAAGTATTATGTTTGCTGGAGTTATCTCCTATTCTTCACACGAGGAAGCACACCAATAATTCTTGGCACCATTGCTTTCTATGTTAAATTTTTCAATTTCAATCATTCATAGCTCTTTTGTCTTAATTCAAATAAAGTGACAGATATTTTCTCTCAAAGCTCTACCTTAGCTTGTATTGTGCTGAAAAAAAATCAACATACCCTAAATTGCATATAAGAGTGTACTCCATGTGTAGGACTATTTCATTTAAGTATGTACTACTTTCTCGTAAGTTCTTTCTGACTGGGCTCAAATTAGTGGTGTTACACAATGAGGAGAAAAAACAAAAGACACTATTTGATATAAGGTTCTGTATAAATAAAAACATATAAATGTATTTCTTATTGTTTGATATCCTTGGAATTTATAAGCATTTCATTTAGTACAAAAATATTGTTAGCTAGCTACCAGTTTATGCAGTAATGTGTGATGTAGGATTTTTTTGTTTTTTTGTGGCTATATGGATCACTGAATTCTATAAAAAAGAATAATGTTTAACAGTTTTATAACAGTTGAGACAATACATATATTTAAATTTGTTCCTGCTATTGAGCCATTCATACAATTGTAAGATTTTTATATCAATATATCTACGGTAAAAAAGCTTATTTTATTTGTGACTTGGTACTAGATTTACCATATTGCTGACTGGATTGCCACCTGAGCAATTTTGGTCTTAGTACCTGACAAGAAATTGTATATATTTATGGATTTAGTTATAAAAAATGTGTATCATATTAGTTTTCACTCACAAAAGGCATTCTTTTTTCATATTGTAACTTACAAATACATATATATATCATTTAAGGTTTTGAGTGAAGCAAAGCAAAATTTAACTCAATGGGGATTTGTGCCAGGAATTGATCCTTTTCCAGATAATGAAACTGTCAGAGAAGGTAAGAAAGAGTTGTTTCTCAATATTTTAAGAACACATTTTTATAAATTTGGATATAAAGTGTTTTCTTTGCATAATCAGGGGACTGAGTTTTCTGTTGTGATAACTTTTGTAAAGTTATAATAGTTTTTTGCAAGATGTCTATCTTTGTTTAAATTGTTGACTAATGACAAAAAGACCATTTCCTGGTTATATAATTAGATTTATGGAATGTGCAAAATTCTCCCAACACATCGAAATAAAATATCCAAAATTGTATTCTACTGTGGTCTTTCTTAGATATTTTATGTTCAAGGCATCCATTGCTTTTTTTTTATTTGGGTGAAAAACTTCTAGAAATGGTCAATACTGTGAAAAATTTGGGAGTTTCGAAGGTATAATCATCAGTTAATTGTGTTATTTATTTCTGATTTAAAATTTTATGGTTACACATTTGTCCATGCAAAAAATTGTGTTTTGTCATCAGAGCCATGATTACTAAGCAGCAAACAGCTAATGTTTATGGGATACTTTTGGGACAGTTGTGCCACTATTAGACTTCATGTGAACAAGAAACACCTAACAAAAGAGGGCTTCAATTGAGGAAATCTTTCATATCTTGATAAATGGATGAAAAAATAGCATCATCTTTATATTGAAATTAACAAAATTAGGAAAATCATACTTTAGAGATAAGTATTGATTGGTGTAGGGATTTCTGGAGGCTGTCTATTATTAACTTCATTCACAAATGCCATAAGCCATTTAAATTTTAAGAACTTTAAATCCTATAACACAGACTGATGCCAAAGATCCTGACTCTTACACCTCTGTAGATATTTAGATTTGATTGTATAAGACAGATAAGCCTCATTAATCTTCTAAGGAAATTCCTTGATAATGTTGATTTAATTGATGTTTTTGTCAGTACAAATTTTGAGTCAGGTTGTTAGAAAATCGTTTAATTTTTCTAGAAAATATAGTATAAAAATAGTTTTAAATAAAGATTTTTTTTCCAGTTTATAATTCTGTATTCATTATTGAAGCTAGAGTATTTTAATACATATTCCATAATCAGAATTTTGGTAAAAAGTCATGATATGTCATCAGTTTATGAGTACTATGTTTAGATGAACAAATGAGATGTGGTGTATGGTAGTAAAAATTACTGCATCACAACAACACATCTAGAAGTCACAATAATGCCATCAACGAAGGATTTATTCGGTAAAAAAAATGATATATTTATCGAATCAACTGTATTTTTACTAAAGACAATTTGATTTTTTACAACTTTGTGTTTTATTTGCATAAAAAAAAATGAAATGTAAAGTAAAAATTTAAAAATTATAAAAAGCAAAAAATAAATTTTATCGAACAGGGTCAAAGCTAGTGGAAGGGTGCACGCCTCAAGAAAGGGAGATAGCGGGTTTAATCCCTGGATGGTCAAACCAAAGACTTGAAAATTTATATGTTCTGCTTTTCCCCTAAGCAAATACTTAATAGTATTTAAGGGTAAGAGCAAAAACAGGTTGACTCAGTATTTCATGGGTGATATGTCTTCTTGTGTGGGTTATGTTGTAAAGGTGTGATCTGTCCTACAAAGCAGTGCCAAAAAAAACCTGATTATTCACAGGAAGTTTATTAATATTATTTGTGAACCAAAAATTACTTCTTGTTTTCCTTGTGTATTCTAAGTTTATAGTTTAGATTATGTTTGACTTGAGTTCCCAGTAGGAAATATTTAATGACGTTGAATCATTCTTTATCTGATTCTGGTTTGAAAAAATAAATATCTTGATCAGCTGCCCTTCTATTAAAAAGTTTAAGATATAAAGAAAATGTAATTATCAGGTAAAGATCTTGACTCCTTTGATAAACTTTGAAATTCTTTATATGACTGGTACATTTGATATAAATAATTGAGTGATGATGGACGGCCATATGATTTATAGAAAATGTTTAACCCAGCCACATTCTGTATGTGCCTGTCCCAAGTCAGGAGCCTGTAATTCAGTGATTGTCGTTGGATGCTATCAGTCACATTTGTTTTTCATTTATTGTTTGTTTTCTTGTTTATGTTGTTTCACATTTTTCATGTCCAGCCTTTTATTGTTGACCACACAGTATGGGATTTGCTCATTTTTGAAGGCTGTACAGTGACATATAGTTGTTTACATCGATGACATTCGAACTCTGGTAGATAGTTGTTTCATTGTCAATCATTCCACATCTCCTTACCGTAATATAACTTTCTTGAATAAGTATCTAATTTATTATAGGTGACATTTACCTGTAACAAATGTCATCACTAGTACTACACTAGGATACAATGCTGGACACACTTCATACTATAACTAGAATTTGGCCCAATATTCAAAATTTGAGCTTATTGGTTAAATTGTGTTGCAGTTAGTGAAATTTTATATTAAATTAGCTATAATTACAAGCAATTAAGTATTCATAAGCAAAAATTTATATTAAATTAGCTATAATTACAAGCAATTAAGTATTCATAAGTGAAAATTTATATTAAATAGCTATAATTACAAGTAATTAAGTATTCATATATGTAACTAAACATGTGGACATGTAGGGATATAATTGGAAGGTAAAATAGAGCTTTAGAACCATGCACAAGTCTGGAATTGGTACAATGTGGTTAAAATTTAAGAGCTATGGAAATTAACATTTTTTTTAATTTGGGTGAATAATTGTTTTTTCAAAATACAGTTCATATTATTATAATGTCAGGTAATATATCATTTTGGAAACTTAATTTAAGTTTTGAGACCATGAAAGAAAATTTCACCCATTTGCATGTAACTTTGTTCAACTCAGGATTTACAAGAGTCTAGTGAATTTAAAAAAAAACTGAATTTTTGTCTGGTTTAAAATTATAAAAATCCCTACTTTTTTGGTATATAATCATAAGAACAAAGGGAATATAACTTAGCAGCATGTTTTACTTGGCAAAATAGAAATCACAATTGATTTTATATTTGCTCTTTCAGCTTGTCAAGATGGCATTCTATAAGCAGCAACATCTGTCAAGAAGAAATTGTAAAATACATCATTGAAACATTGATTCTTTCTATCAATGTTTTACTTTTTTCCAAGAAACTTGAAGCCTCTCTTTGATGTTTTAAGTTTATCATGCATGACAGGTGCAATATATATAAACTTATTAAGTGTTACTTGACATCATCATTCTGTAAACAGTAGCTTCCTTTGCTCTGTTGATGTAAGATAACATATAAAACTAATTGGGAAGACTTGTTTGATATATTATCTCATTTACAATTTGTTTACAATTATTTGTACTTTGAGTTTTTGGCCTCTTTTTATCTGATCTGTACCAAATAATGGATCTCTTATCCAGCTAACAAATACCAGAAAGTTTTTTATGCAGTTTTTTAGTTTCAAGGTTATGTGTGAAACATGTTAAATTTAGCACTGATTAAGTTGGACACTTGTTAATGAGGTTTTAATGAAAAAATAATCATGCCTGGAACAAACTGCACTGTCAGAGGAAATAAGTTTAAGCAGGTATTAATATAAATTTATTTTTTTTAAACAAATGAGTAGATAGTATTAAATGATTGCATTATATTCAGCTTTAGATATAACTTTAAAACTCAATATCAAACAAACATGAAGAGTTTGCCCTGCTTGTACATTCTTTGTCAGATTTATAATGTGCTGCCCTGCTTGTACATTCTTTGTCTGATTTTTAATGTGCTAGATAACTATAAAGATATATCTTCCATTCAAACATACTCTCTGACTTTTTGAATAAATAATAATAATAAAATTCTTTATTTAACGAAGGTAACACATTTAACAATGACATGTTAATCTCTGAGGTTAATCTTCCATGAGGCTTCAAAAACTACAATCTAATTAAAATTAAATCTCTGCACTTGCTCCTCTTGTTTATATGTCGCGCGTGGGAGATCATCTCCCACGCGCGACATATAAACAACGAGGAGCAAGTGAGGAGATTTAATTTTAATTAGATTGCAAAAACTATTAATACGAATGGAAAAGACAAAAATACAAACAAAATAAAATACATAAGACAGTTATATATAGCAGCTTAAATATTGAATAAGTACATATGCATTCAATAGAAGATAAAATACATTAGAATCAGGCATCTTCATTCGACTACCATTCTTAACTCTCACTCCTAAATGTTCCTTGCTTAGCAGATTTCAGTGTAGAAAATGCATATACCACTTTAAAGGGGACTTTACCTATGCCATTAACTACCACATACAAGTATTCAAGCAAGCAACCACAAGAACATCATGATGGATTTTTTGGGGAAAGAAGACATTCAAGTATTCGGAATTCCCTTTACTGCTGGCTAGTGTTTTTATATTTTAACTTTTCAGAATTTGCAAGAGTGTTACCACCAATTCTGCGATTTACCACTGCAAAACCTCCTCTGGAAACAGATATTTACACTTAATTGATCTTTTAAGCAGTTGTTAATAGTGTATGCATTTTGTTTATATAAAATAAGAAGATGCAGTATTATTGCCAATGAGAACCAAATGTTGAGAATGTAAACAACTATAGGTCACATATTGCCTTCAACAATGAGCCAAACACATACCTGACATGACAAAATGTGAAGCATTCAAAAGACGAATGCCAGATTTATGCTAAAACAATCAACTAAAACGAATTTGGCACACAGCAACCACAACAACCACTAAACTATATGCTCCTGATAGGTTTTTTAGTCTGATTTCACTTATAAATGCTTCAGGGTTGGCAGAGAAGCAGTAAATACAAAGTCTTTGATTGTCCTCGCCAGGATGGAACCCACCACCTTCCACACTTTAGTTAGCAGGTCACCCAAAGACCACCAAGCTGTTTTTTATGCTTTGAATTAAAAAATTAAAAAAAACCAATGCATTATATCATGTAACTTCTTGCATTTATTGTTATGCACTAAAGTATGTTATTTTTGAAAAGTAAAATTTATCATTTATAATGTACTGGTATTTTAAGTAGGAAATGAATTTATCTTTTTAAATCATATAATCTGATAGCCATAGAAATAATATATTATTAGGGTTAATAACTTTCCTGTAAACTTTTCTTATTTACTGCATTTTTAGCATTCATCAAATAATTGAAAGTTCCATTGAAAAGATTTAGGCACTGATGTTACAAGGAAATTGTTTATAATATGATTTACCTCATGTTATGTTAGACAAAGTGATAATACCAGACAAACAAGTTTGCTTTATATGATGGGCTTTATTTTAGAATATTCAATTAAACTATGAGAACTGTACATTAAAAGTGCATAAACTTTGTAAGAATCTAAATCATACTTGTTCATGCAGTGCAAGTTGAACTATGCCAGAAAATATAAAACAAAAAAAAGTTGTAGAGCAGACTGTGTAGTGCAAGCCAATTCAAATACATGTATTTTTAGAATACTGTTACACATATATGTTTCAATAGAATCTCATCCTTTTGCTGAAAGTCTTATTGCTATTCTATTTAAAGTTTAAAACAATCTTAACCATTTTAACTGTCTTTATTATTAGGAATATAATAGTTATTTTATTGATTGTCGGTAGAAAAGAACTCTGATTGAAATACATATCCTGTGTCTAAGATTTCCTTACAGAGGAGGGGTAGGAGGGGTCCTGATCCCGAAATCTCGGGCTTAAAAACATGGAACCCCGAGGTCCCGAATTTAAAAAAAATTAAATCCCGAAATTCTAAAAAAGAATTCCTGGATCCCGAAAGGATCAATCCTGAAATCCTGAGCTTAAAAACACCTGATCCCGGAGTCCTGATAAAGGACCTACCCCCCCTCTAACAAGCCTTGTAAGCAAAGCTTTCACACAGGATCTGTATTCTAATCAGATTAGCAGTAAGGAAAAAGGTTTTGGATTTAGGCTTTTAAAATTTTCCTTGGAGTCCAGTACAAATAAAGGGAATATGGAGTATATGACATTGAGACAGCAACCCAATTACACAATGAAACTAGAAATACATGTACATCAAATTTCAAGAATAGACAACGTCACAAGCTAGATTCTTGCTATATACATTTGGTAAACTCTTGATTTTCCTTAGTCTAAGTAGTCGAACTACTGTATCACTAGCCTGTCAACACTGAGGTTGTGAGTTAGAATCCCCCATGTGGCAGGTGCACACGACTCCAATCTTAATTAACTAGGATGTCAAATTTCCTTCCGAAGGTCTGTGGTTCTCTCCGGCACTCTGGTCAAATTTCCTACCAAAGGTCTGTGGTTCTCTCTGGGCACTTTGGCTTACTCCATCAATAAAAACTGACTGTTACAAAATAGCACAATAGTGTTGAAAGTAGCGTTAAACACTGATCAATCAATCAATTCCTTGGTCTAGACAAGTTGTAATTAATATACCACTGAGAGTACCCTACATCTGCAATCAAAAGTAACTTCCAAAACTCTAAGAGATAGGTTGAAATGCTAACCATTGACAAGTTTCTGACTTAGGACAGGCAGACTTACATGTAACTTTGCTTAAATTATTTTTGGAGTACAATAAACAATAAAAATCTGCTCATAGAAAGAGCATGCATTTTCACTCAACTGTTTTACAGACAACCAAAATGGCAGCTACAAGTAATAAGATATTAAATGATATTATATTATACACCCACTCTAGGAGTACAGGGCTGTATTGCATAAACATTGTCCCTCTGTCTGTAAAACAATCATTTCTGTCTCACTTTTTTTCAGGTTTTTATACCCCCACCGTAGTGGAGGGGGCATTAAGTTCTACCCTTGTTCGTCTGTACGTATGTCCCAAAATTGGTTTCTGTTCTCTAACTTTAGTTTGCCTCAACCAAATGTTATGAAACTTATACACAATGCTTATTACCACAAAACACAGATCAAGTATGAATTTTGATGGCGTCACTTTTACCGTTCTAGAGTTATGCCCCTTTACAAATGGAAAAATTGCTGAATTTTTCATTTCAATTCTCTATTTTTAGTTTGCCTCAACCAAATGTTATGAAACTTATACACAATGCTTATTACCACAAAACACAGATCAAGTTTGAATTTTGGTGGCGTCACTTTAACCGTTCTAGAGTAATGCCCCTTTATAAATGGAAAAATTGCAAAATTTTTATTTTCTTCTTAATATCAAGTAATTTTTAAAATTGGAGTTATCTTCCTCTGTCCATGATAATAGTTGAATCAACAACAGTCAATGCTTTAAACAATGCAATGATTAATTTTGACTTCCACTGATAAAACACAGATCAAGTTGAATTCGGGTAGTGTCACTTTAACCATTATTGAGTTTTGCCCCTTTATAAATCGAAAGATTGCAAAATTTTTAGTTTCCATTCTGTAACTTAAGTTTGCCCCAACCAAACATTATGAAACCTATACACAATATTCATTACCACAAAACTTAGATCAAGTATAAATTTTTTGTTTCCGTTTTCTAACTTTAGTTTGCCTCAACCAAATGTTATTAAACTTATACACAATGCTTATTACTACATAATACAGATTAAGTACTAAGTTTGGTGGCGACACTTTTACCATTCTTGAGTTATGTCCCTTTATAAACATAAAAATTGCTGAATTTTCTGTTTCCGTTCTCTAACTTTAGTTCAAATTTGGATAGCGTCACTTTTACCGTTCTTCAGTTATGTCCCTTTATAACTATATGATATGCAAGCGGGGGCATCATCTTTGTCCACATGTGGACACTATCCACATTTATAAGGTACATTTACTACTAAACATAAATGACTTCATATTTGGTCCGCAGGTTACAGACGGGCCTGTAAAAATTATCTCTACAAGCCAAAAGAATCTAACTAAAATTTTCGTGAAATTCAGCTTCGGGCCAGTAGATTTAAAAGTTAATCATGAAGACTGAGCTTATTTAGTAGTGGTGAGTTGTGATGTGTGAACACTTCACATATTTTTATTGGTAGAATATATGAGGCTGACCCAGGTAGACTGGAAACAGCTGCTTTTCTGAATTGTACTTAACAAAGGTGTTCACTGCATATGAAGTTTGTTTCAACAACACCAGTTTTTAGCTCACCTGGCCCAAAGGGCCAAGTGAGTTTTCTCATCACTTGGCATCCGTCGTCCGTCGTCCGTAAACTTTTACAAAAATCTTCTCCTCTGAAACTACTAGGCCAAATTTAACCAAACTTGGCCAATATCATCATTAGGGTATCTAGTTTAAAAAATGTGTCCGGTGACCTGGCCAACTAACCAAGATGGCGGCCATGGCTAAAAATAGAACATAGGGATAAAATGTAGATTTTGGCTTATATCTCTGAAACCAAAGCATTGAGAGCAAATCTGACAAAGGGTAAAAATGTTTATTAGCTGAAATTTTCAGATGAATCGGACAACCCGTTGTTAGGTTGCTGCCCCTGAATTAGTAATTTTAAGGAAATTTTGCCTTATTTGGTTATTATCTTGAATATTATTATAGATAGAGATAAACTGAAAACAGCAATAATGTTCAGCAAAGTAAGTTCTACAAATAAGTCACATGACCAAAATGGTCAGTTGACCCCTTAAGGAGTTATTGCTCTTTTATAGTCAATTTTTAACAATTTTTCGTAAATTTTTGTTATCTTTTACAAAAATCTTCTCCTCTGAAACTACTAAGATGAATTTAACTAAAGTTGTAAACAATCATCATTAGGGTATGTAGTTTAAAAATTGTGTTTGATGACCCCGCCCTCAAACCAAGATGGCCGACATGGCTAATAATAGTACATAGGGTAAAATGCAGTTTTTGGCTCATATATCTAAACCCAAAGCATTTCTAGCAAATCTTTCAAAAACAAAATTGTTCATTAGGTCAAGATCTATCTGCCCTTAAATTTTCAGACCATTCAGGCAACTCGTTGTTGGGTTGCTGCCCCTGAATTGGTAATTTTTAGAAATTTTTTCAGCTTTTGGTCATTATCTTGAATATTTTTATAGATAGAGATAAACTGTAAAGAGCAATAATGTACAGCAAAGTAAGACCTACAAATAAGTCACATGACCAAAATGGTCAATTGACCCCTTAAGGAGTTATTGCCCTTTATAATAAATTTTTAACAATTTTCATAAATTTTGTAAATTTTTACAAAATAATTTCCACTGAAACTACAGGGCCAAGTTCATTATAGATAGAGATAATTGTAAGCATCAAGAATGTTCAGTAAAGTAAGATCTACAAACACATCACCATCACCAAAACACAATTTTGTCATGAATCCACCTGTGTCCTTTGTTTAATATGCACATAGACCAAGGTGAGCGACACAGGCTCTTTAGAGCCTCTAGTTTTTAAATTTTACAGGAACATTAGTAAATACTGCGAATAAATACCAGTGCAAGCAGTGCATCTCCTTGGAGTTTCTAGTTATGTAGATTGTATAATTATGTTTTGTATTTTCAGCATTTTCCAAGGTTGTTGAGAACACTGCAATGTTTGGTGACCTAGTTCTAAGACTTCCTGATGTAGTCCATGGTCTGTTTGATAAGAATACAGAATGGAATGTCTTAATGGGATGGTGTGTTTGGTTTTCTGCAGAATCAAAAGTGTTTGATGGTGGAAGTGAAAAACTACTCAATTTAGTAAGAAACACATTCTTCGTGTTTAAGGTAGCTGTGGTGTCTGAATGTTTGAGGATAGATTTTTCTTAAATTTCTGTAAAAAACTTCTGGGTCAATGTTCTTTCAAATTTCAGTATAAAAACTGGGGGTCACTGACATGTTTTTTCGTTAAAATACATTGAAATTAATGAAATCAGTTATTTTATATGGTTTATATAGGGGAAACTTAATTTTTCCACATTGAGAAAACTTTAAAGGTATTATTGGTTAAAGTTCAATGAGAAAATTGCTTTTTATAGATACTTCTGAAGTATCAAATAAGAATGGGGGTCATGGGCCTTATTTTCTTGAAAAATCCAGAAACACAAATTGTCCTATCAAATTCAATATGTTTATCTGCCCTTAATTTTTCATATATTCAATGATACTTGGTAAATTTTGTTTAAACCAAAATAGTATTTTTGCAACATGCCCAGAAGAGATGCTCAGAAAAAGACACCCGATCTACCTTAAACCAAAGAATTTAAAGCAGATTTAAGCACACAACTCATTCCAAGGATTGATGTACGTGATGGGTAGATTCAGGAAAGTTTCAAAAATAAGGAGTATCATTTTATTAAGGAGTTTCAAGCTTCACTTTCATGAAAAAAAATCTTAATTATAAAATAATATGAATAAAAATAGAGGTGGTAACCATGTGAATCCCTCCCCCTTTTACAGTAAAGCACTTCTGAGTTATAAGAACTTTTGATTAAAATCGTATCTGAAAATTTCTTCTTTGTAATGCAGAAACATAAATAAAATACCGTAAGTGTGTATTATATCCAGTTCATAAAAAAAAAAAATCTATCTAAGCTTTAAGAATGAGAATTTTAACCTTGAATAATACTTTTATTATTATCAATACACATGATAACCAATGTTTGATGTTGGTAACATCTGAAATCATCAATGCATTGAGAGAGCCAAGATTATAGCATATAAAATAAAATGCTTCGCTGGGCGCAGCTTGATACGACCGCAGAGGTCGAACCCTGAAGAGTTGGGGCAAGTATGGACACAACATTCAAGCTTGATACAGCTCTGAATTTGGATTGTGATTAAATATTTGACACAGCATAGGTTTCTGACACAGAAAGAATGTGGTCTAAGAACTTCAATTTTTTTAATTTACCTATTATGGTCCAATGTCCAAAATCAAAATACATGGTTAGATTCAGCATATCAAAGAACCCCATATATTCAATTTTTGTTGAAATCAAACAAAGTTTAATTTTGGACCCCAACTTGGACAAACTTGAAAACTGGTCCCATAATCAAAAATCTAAACACATGTTTAGATTCAGCATATCAAAGTACCCGAAGAATTCAATTTTTGTTAAAATCAAACTAAGTTTAATTTTGGACCCTTTGGACCTTAATGTAGACAAATTTAAAAAACGGGACCCAAAATTAAAAATCTAAAAACACGGTTAGATTTGGCATATCAAAGAACCCCAATTATTCAATTTTTGATGAAATCAAACAAAGTTTAATTTTGGACCCTTTTGACCTCAATATGAACCAATTTGATAGCGGGCCCACAAATAAAAAATCTAAATACATGGTAAGATTCAGCATATCAAAGAACCCCATATATTCAATTTTTGTTGAAATCAAACAAAGTTTAATTTTGGACTCCAATTTGGACCAACTTGAAAACTGGGCCAAAAATCTAAAATCTAAATACATGTTTAGATTCAGCATATCAAAGAACCCCATATATTCAATTTTTGTTGAAATCAAACAAAGTTTAATTTTGGACCCCAACTTGGACCAACTTGAAAACTGGTCCCATAATTAAAAATCTAAACACATGTTTAGATTCAGCATATCAAAGAACCCCAAAAATTCAATTTTTGTTAAAATCAAACTAAGTTAAATTTGGACCCTTTGGACCTTAATGTAGACAAATTTAAAAAACAGGACCCAAAATTAAAAATCTAAATACACAGTTAGATTTGGCATATCAAAGAACCCCAATAATTCAATTTTTTATGAAATCAAACAAAGTTTAATTTTGGACCCTTTTGACCTCAATATGAACCAATTTGATAGCAGGCCCACAAATAAAAAATCTAAATACATGGTAAGATTCAGCATATCAAAGAACCCCATATATTCAATTTTTGTTGAAATCAAACAAAGTTTAATTTTGGACCCCAATTTGGACCAACTTGAAAACTGGGCCAAAAATCTAAAATCTAAATACATGTTTAGATTTTGCATATCAAATAACCCCATATATTCAATTTTTGTTGAAATCAAACAAAGTTTAATTTTGGACCCCAACTTGGACCAACTTGAAAACTGGGCCCATAATCAAAAATCTAAACACATGTTTAGATTCAGCATATCAAAGAACCCCAAGAATTCAATTTTTGTTAAAATCAAATTAAGTTTAATTTTGGACCCTTTGGACCTTAATGTAGACCAATTTAAAAAACGGGACCCCAAATTAAAAATCTAAATACACGGTTAGATTCGGCATATCAAAGAACCCCAATAATTCAATTTTTGATGAAATCAAACAAAGTTAAATTTTGGACCCTTTGGACCTCAATGTGGACCAATTTAAAAACGGGGCCCAAAATCCAAAAACTTAATACACGGTTAGATTCAGCATATTAAAGAACCCCAAGAATTCAAGAATAAAACCCCATTGAAATTGATCAAGAAATAAGCAATTTATACGAAGTATCTTCTTTTGCACAACACTGTGCAATTGAATATTTCTTGCTATTGCGCAATACTGTACAATTGACAATTTCTTGCTATTGCGCAATATTGTGCTATTGGATATTTCTTGCTATTGCGCAATACTGTGCAATTGAAGATTTCTTGCTATTGCGCAATACTGTGCAATTGAAGATTTCTTGCTATTGTGCAATACTGTGCAATTGAAAATTTCTTGCTATTGCACAATACTTATTATATAATAATTTACACATCCTGTTTGGTGTGTATCTCCTACCATATCATTATTATTTGCTTTTAAATATAAATCAGAAATAATCAACTTAAAATGGAAAATTTTAAAAGAAAAAAAAAAGGAAAAAAAGAAAAAAAAAAAAAAAAAAAATCTCCCCCCCCAAATTTTTTGAACCCCCTTATGATTCATCACCCCCAAACTCAATCCCAGCCTTCCCTTTGTGGTATGGTACCTTGCAGTACAATTTCAGAGAGATCCATACACTTGAACACAAGTTATTGTCTGGAAACTAGAAAAATGCTTATTTTTGGCCCCTTTTTGGCCCCCAATTCCTAAACGTTTCGGGCAATTACCCCCAAACTCAATTCCAGCTTTCCCTTTGTGATATGGAACCTTGTAGTACAATTTCAGAAATATCCAAACACTTACACACAAGTTATTGTCATGAAACTAGAAAAATGCTTGTTTTTTGCCCCTTTTTTGGCCCCTAATTCCTAAAATTTTGAGGCAATTACCCCCAAAATCAATTACAGCCTTCCCTTTGTGATATGGAACCTTGTGGTACAATGTCAGAGAGATCTATACACTTACACACAAGTTATTGTCTGAAAATTACAAAAATGCTTATTTTTGGCCCCTTTTTGGCCCCTAATTCCTTAACTGTTGGTACCATAACCCCCAAAATCAATCCCAACCTTCCTTTCGTGGTATTGAACCTTATGGTGAAATTTCATGGAGATCCATTCACTTAAACTAAAGTTAGAGTGCGAAAACCAATGTGTCTTCGGACGACGCCAGACGACGCCGGACGACGACGACGACGACGACGACGACAACGACGACGACGACGACGACGACGCCAACGTCATACCAATATACGACCAAAAAATTTTTAATTTTTGCAGTCGTATAAAAATAACTGTTTATTTATTTACCATCTGGTTAAGTAGTAAATAATCTCTAAATTATGACCTATTTACACCCATTTTACAAACTCGTAATTGTAAATTTTTGCATATGTTACATGTTTTCTATGATCCAATAAATTTCAATTGCATCGTTGTATCATAATATTAAGTGCATTTCATGTCTATTTTAATGTTGTGTAACTATAAATAAAATGTTTAGCATGACATGTTGCAACGTTAAAGTGTGGTTATGATGTTAAGCTTTTCAAACGAAATTGGAAACCAGTCTTTTCAACATTCTTTACACTAAAGTTTATGTTTTTATAATTTAGAATTCTCCATTCAGGTGGTTTCATTAATTTTGCTGACAGCAAACTTTTAACACATGTTCATAGAAATTTTAGTTTTTATTCATGAGATTTTTTTATATGATGTTTTTTTTTTATGAGTAGGTCATAGAAAAAAACATAATGCAAAATTGACAGTGGAAAAAATGAGTTGAGATCATATATATTTCACTGTCTCCCTATTGGAACCTCAAGTGTGTTAGATTTTCACACCTTTGATAGTTTTTATATGACTGCAAAAAAATTTTTGTGGTCGTATATTGGTATGACGTTAGCGTCGTTGTCGTCGTCGTCGTCGTCCTGCGTCGTCCGAAGACACATTGCTTTTCGCACTCTAACTTTAGTTTAAGTGAATGGATCTCTATGAAATTTTACCACAAGGTTCAATACCACAAAAGGAAGGTTGGGATTGATTTTGGGGGTTATGGTACCAACAGTAAAGGAATTAGGGGCTAAAAAGGGGCAAAAAATAAGCATTTTTGTAACTTCCAGACATAACTTATGTGTTAGTGTATGGATCTCTCTGACATTGTACCACAAGGTTCCATATCACAAAAGGAATGCTGGGATTGATTTTGGGGGTAATTGCCTCAAAATTTTAGGAATTAGGGGCCAAAAAAGGGGCAAAAAACAAGCATTTTTCTAGTTTCATGACAATAACTTGTGTGTAAGTGTATTGATCTTTCTGAAATTGTACTACAAGGTTCCATATCACAAAGGGAAAGCTGGGTTTGAGTTTGGGGTAATTGCCCTAAATGTTTAGGAATTTGGGGCCAAAAAGGGGCCAAAAAACACATTTTTCTAGTTTCCAGACAATAACTTGTGTTCAAGTGTATGGATCTCTCTGAAATTGTACTGCAAGGTACCATACCACAAAGGGAAGGCTGGGATTGAGTTTGGGGGTGATGAATCATAAGGGGGTTCAAAAAATTGGGGGGGGGGGGGGGGGGGGGAGTGGTTTCCTTTTTTTTTTCTTTTAAAATTTTCCATTTTAAGTTGGTTATTTCTGATTTATATTTAAAAGCAAATAATAATGATATGGTAGGAGATACACACCAAACAGGATGTGTAAATTATTATATAATAAGTATTGTGCAATAGCAAGAAATTTTCAATTGCACAGTATTGCACAATTGCAAGAAATCTTCAATTGCACAGTATTGCGCAATAGCAAGAAATCTTCAATTGCACAGTATTGCGCAATAGCAAGAAATATCCAATAGCACAATATTGCGCAATAGCAAGAAATTGTCAATTGTACAGTATTGCGCAATAGCAAGAAATATTTAATTGCACAGTATTGTGCAAAAGAAAATACTTCATATAAATTGCTTATTTCTTGACCAATTTCAATGGGGTTTTATTCTTGAATTCTTGGGGTTCTTTAATATGCTGAATCTAACCGTGTAGTTAGTTTTTGGATTTTGGGCCCCGTTTTTAAATTGGTCCACATTGAGGTCCAAAGGGTCCAAAATTAAACTTTGTTTGATTTCATCAAAAATTGAATTATTGGGGTTCTTTGATATGCTGAATCTAAACATGTATTTAGATTTTTGATTATAAGCCCAGTTTTCAAGTTGGTCCAAATTGGGGTCCAAAATTAAACTTTGTTTGATTTCAACAAAAATTGAATATATGGGGTTCTTTGATATGCTGAATCTAACCATGTATTTAGATTTTTGATTTTTGGGCCCCGTTATCATTTTTGTCCACATTGAGGTCAAAAGGGTCCAAAATTAAACTTTGTTTGATTTCATCAAAAATTGAATTCTTGGGGTTCTTTGATATGCTGAATCTAACCATGTATTTAGATTTTGGATATTGGAACATAATAGGTGAATGTCCAATTTAAATTTTTTAAGTTCTTAGACCACATTCATTCTGTGTCAGAAACCTATGCTGTGTCAAATATTTAATCACAATCCAAATGCAAAGCTGTATCAAGCTTGAATGTTGTGTCCATACTTGCCCCAACTGTTCAGGGTTCGACCTCTGCGGTCGTATCAAGCTGCGCCTTGCGGAGCATTTTATCCCTTATGTATTTATATTGCCAAGTTACTTTTGATATCACGTAATTCATGCTTAAAGATTAATTACTACATTTATAACCCATTACAGGTCATACCAATTGAATGATTGATTGATTGATATTAACACCACTTTTAGCACTATTCGCTATTTTTTGGCTGTCAATTTTTATTGGTGAAGGAAGCTGGAGTGCTTGGAGAGAACTGACAATCCTGGTCAATTAAGATTGGAGTCGAATGCACCTGCCATGGTCATACAAATTAAAAAACTATCAAATTTGTATCCTATGTTATATGCCTCAATGTAAGAAATAAATCTTGCATTCTGAAAACTAATACCAGTTACTATTGTAACCAGAAGGCATGGTTATCATCTTAAATGGCCAATGTTATTAGAAAATCTTGCACTCTGAAAACTAATACTGTTAACTATTGTACCCAGGAGGTATGGATACCAAACATCTGGCACTCTTAATATCTGTTTAACTACTGTTTCTATCAGATAAGGATGTATTTTCCCAATCAGTGTTACTGTGGAGAACACTTAATATTCAGAACTTCCAAATTAACATTATACAAACTATAAAAAAGTATAAACTTTTATCACTTTGTTAATGATCATGACTCAACAAGAGCAAACAACCAGTAAAATACTTTGGACAATTGATAGCTTGACATTTTGCATAGACAGCTGTCTATTGTTGAAGACTGTATGTTGCACACTAGCTTTCTTTTGGTTATTTTCGTCTCTGGAATGCTGTTTCATTAAAGATAGACGTTAGTAGTTGGTAGATTTCTAAGACTTATCCTTAGATATTATTTGTACTTTCAGATGTCTCAAGAGATAAATCTGATACCAAAAGAAGATGATTATATAAATCCTTTCACTGAAGAAAATCAAAAGTTAAAGGAACAGGTATGACAAAATTAAGAAATAATTCATGGAAGCCATAGATTTGTTGGACATTTACACATGGCCTGGGCCGTGATATTCGAATTTTATCCTGAGCGTTAGCGAGGGATAAAATTAACGAATATCACGGCCCAGGCCATGTGTAAATGTCCAACAAATGCTCAGGATAAAATTGGAATATCACGGCCCAGGCCATGTGTAAATGTCCAACAAATCTATGGCTTCCATGAATTATTTCGATTCTAATAGGACAAATACGGTAATTTAAAAACTGAAGCGAACGTAAGATTGCCGTGTGTATGGCTGTTCTATTTTACCCCCTGTAAGATAAAAGCTACAAATTTCATATAAATCTAAGTCTTACATGAATTATTTCTCAAATAAGCAGTAGAAAAAATGTGTTCAATTCTCATAATTCTTAACCCAAACATTTAAATGGGAGGTACATAGTAACAGCCACCAATATGCACATCTCTGAGTCTGCGCTAAGTATAGATATATCGAGAATTTTATCACGGTGTTGTTTACAAAGCGAAAGAAGCACGTCATATTAGAATAGATAATATTCTTGTTAAATAGAAGAAGTCCTGCAGGTTTCTGGACAGTAATATATGAAGAGAAATGAGTTAGAGGATAACATTTATATATAAAAATAAGAAGATGTGGTATGATTGCCAATGAGACAGCTCTCCACAGGAGACCAAATGACCCAGAAATCAACAACTAAAGGTCACCGTGCGGCCTTCAACAATGAGCAAAGCCCATACCGCATAGTCAGCTATAAATGGCCCCGAAATGACAAATGTAAAACAATTCAAACAAGATAACTAACAGCCTAATTTATGTTAAAAGTAATGAACGAAAAACAAATATGTTACACAGCAACAAACAACAACCACTGAATTACAGGCTCCTGACTTGGGACAGGCACATACAGAACGTGGCAGGGTTAAACTAGTTTGAAGGCGCCAACCCTCTCCCTAACCTGGGACATTGGTGTAACAGTACAACATAAGAACAAACTATAAAAATCAGTTGAAAAAGGCTTAACTCATCAGATGGTTACAAATAGAAATACATATAACAATAAAATGCTCCGCTGGGCACAGCTTAATACAACCGCAGAGGTCGAACCCTGAACAGTTGGGGCAAGTATGGACACAACATTCAAGCTTGATACAGCTCTGAATTTGGATTGTGATTAAATATTTGACATAACATAGGTTTCTGACACAGAATGAATGTGGTCTAAGAACTTGAAAATTTTTAATTTACCTTTTATGGTCCAATATCCAAAATCTAAATACATACACGGTTAGATTCAGCATATCAAAGAACCCCAAGAATTCAATTTTTGTTAAAATTAAACTAAGTTTAATTTTGGACCCTTTGGACCTTAATATAGACCAATTTGAAAACGGGACCAAAAATTAAGAATCTAAATACACGGTTAGATTCAGCATATCAAAGAACCCCAATATTTCAATTTTTGATGAAATCAAACCATATCATTATTATTTGCTTTTATATACATGTATAAATCAAAAATAACTAACTTAAATTATAATGGTAATTTTAAACAAAAAAAAAGGAAAAAAAAATCCCTCCCCCTATTTTTTTAATCTCTTTATGATTCATCTACCCCAAACTCAATCCCAGCCTTCCCTTTGTGGTATGGTACCTTGCAGTACAATTTCAGAGAGATCCATACACTTGAACACAAATTACTGTCTGGAAAATGTAAAAATGCTTGTTTTTTTACCCTTTTTTGGCCCCAAATTCCTAAACATTTAGGGCAATTACCCCCAAACTCAAACTCAGCTTTCTCTATGTGATATGGAACCTTGTAGTACAATTTCATAAAGATACACACACTTACACACAAGTTACTGTCCTGAAATTAGAAAAATGCTTGTTTTTTGCCCCTTTTTGGCCCAAAATTCCTAAAATTTTGAGGCAATTACCCCCAAAATCAATCCCAGCCTTCCCTTTGTGGTATGGTACCTTGCAGTACAATTTCAGAGAGATCCATACACTTGAACACAAGTTATTGTCTGGAAACTTAAAAAATGCTTGTTTTTTGCCCCTTTTTGGCCCCTAATTTCTAAAATTTTGAGGCAGTTACACCCAAAATCCACAATAGCCTTCCCTTTGTGGTGTGGTACCTTGCAGTACAATTTCAGAGAGATCCATACACTTGAACATAAGTTATTGTCTGGAAACTAGAAAAATGCTTGTTTTTTGCCCCTTTTTGGCCCCTAATTCCTAAAATTTTGAGGCAATTACCCCCAAAATCTATCCCAGCATTCCCTTTGTGATATGGTACCTTGCATTACAATTTCAGAGAGATCCATACACTTGAACACAAGTTAATGTCTGGAAACTGTAAAAATGCTTATTTTTGGCCCCTTATTCATAAACGTTTTGGGCAATTACCCCCAAACTCAATTCCAGCTTTCCCTTTGAGATATGAAACCTTGTAGTACAATTTCAGAAAGATCAATACACTTACATACAAGCTATTGTCATGAAACTAGAACAATGCTTGTTTTTTGCCCCTAATTCCTAAAATTTTGAGGCAATTACCCCCAAAAATCAATCCCAGCATTCCCTATGTGATATGGAACGTTGTGGTACAATGTCAGAGAGATCCATACACTAACACACAAGTTATTGTCTGGAAGTTACAAAAATGCTTATTTTTGGCCCCTTTTTGGTCCCTAATTCCATAACTGTTGGTACCATAACCCCCGAAATCAATCCCAACCTTCCTTTTGTGGTATTGAACCTTATGGTAAAATTTCATAGAGATCCATTCATTTAAACTAAAGTTATTGTGCGAAAACCAATGTGTCTTCGAACTACAAAGAGGACGACGACGCCAACGTCATACAAATATACAGTGGATGTGGCAGGATACTTATACATCCCTACAACAAAAAGACACTAAGTACAGATCTGAGGTATTCGCAGCTACTGATAGCTTGTTCAAAGCCAATAACAACTAATAAAAAAAAATCATGCATCTAAGATTAAAATATCAATCAGTATACATCCAACATCCAATGGATTTAGTGTAAAGACGTCATTAACAGTCAGAGAAAAACACGACCTTGTACAATGACAGGTATCGACAGATTGTAGTGCCATGAATGCGTATATGTATATAAAAATAATATTTATTTTGATTTTAATTTACTGATAACAAAATCAATATTAATACCAATAAAACAATATTCAAAGATCTTATTACAGTGTTGAATTGGTAACCTTTTAGAATAAGTTTATTTAAAGGATCGATAAGTTTACCCTGATCATTTCTAAATTTCCGGGTTCGGTAAACAACATATCCGTAAAAATTAGGATGTGCTATCGTTTGAAATAAGTTTTCTACAGGTTACATGTACAACCAAACTTCAAAACCAAATCTTTATATCTATGGAAGAATTTAGTAAAGGTTTTAAGTAATTTGTGGTAACGAAATCACTGACTTAATAATTTACCAGTAATACATAGATAACGTTCATTGAAATCCAAAACATCACAACAGACACGGCCATAGCGAAAGAGATGTGATATATAAACACCGTAAGATGATGCCAAAGGAACATCACCGTCCAAAAAAGGAAAACTAACAATAGGGAACGAAAATTCATCCCTTTTGTCGTAAATTTAAGTGTAGAGTTTCCCGTGTAAAACTGTAATATCTAATTCAAGGAAAGGACAGTTATTACCATTTATATTAGATTCATTTAAAGTAAGTTCCTTTGGGGAAATTTCGGCAGTATATTTAGAAAATTCTTGATTATTTAACTAAAAATATCATAAAGATAACGGTAAGTGTTGTTGAATTTATCAATTAAATGCAATTTAGAAGGGTCTTTACTGAATTTGGTCATAAACTGTGATACATAATAGTACAAGAACAAGTCTGCTATTAAAGGGGCGCACTTGGTGCCCATAGGAATACCTACAACCTGTCAATAAACTTTATTGCTGAAACGTACATAAATATTATCAAGGAGAAAACTAACAGCTTCAATCATCTCATCACACCTCCAGTAAATATTTTAGAATATTTACCTTTCTCATTAGAGAAGAAGGCTTTAAATGAGTTGCATAAAAAATATTTGCATTCAGATTTACCAAACGAACATTTAATTAAATAGGAAAAATATATGTATGTTTACCAATCATAGGTAGCTCAAGCCTCTCTGGAGAGAGGAAGATCCTTTATAGATCAAGCAAATAAAAACAGTAAAAATACCTGAATTCTCATGTGTCAATTGGTGTTTTTTTAAAACACCTTAGTTTGTTATATAACCCATTACCTTGGGAATCAATGATTCAAATTTGTTTTGAGAGCAAATTTTAATGTATACAAAAAGAAAATGAAGACAAATGTATATTGCCATAATAATGTTGATTCTATCCATCTAAATGATCTTTGGCTCCTTATTGGCCAGTGTTATCAAAGCCTGCATTTCCTGGATAAATATTGTTTTACTTATAACCATCTTAATATGAGAGTAGTTGAGGTTTGACACTCATAAAAAAGGTAAGCCAATATGACTCCTGATAAAGGTTTTGTGATAATTATACCCCAGCTTCAAAGGAGACGTAGACTAGTTCAATTATTACCTCAGTCCATCAGTCTGTTTGTCCATAAAACATTTGTGTCACCTTATTCTCAGCAACTACAAGTCACAGCTTTTTGATAATTAGATTACCATCTGATTATTCCATACTATGTAAAATGTTTTAAGTTCTTAAGATGTTCTACTTCCTGGTTGCTGAAAACTTAGATCTTTAGAATTTCACGTACATGAATAATAAACGAGCAATAACTAATAAACAAATAGATGTTTACATTTCTGAAGGAAGAATATAGATGTATATCCATGTTATATATTTTTAGGCAATGAAAGATGTTTTGGAAACAGCTAAGTCAAAAACAAAGTCTAAATCAACAAAGAAAAAGAAGGAGAAGAAAAAAGGACCAAGATTGAGTCATACTGAGCTGTGACAGTTGTTTACATATAGACTTACATGAAGCTTTCAGATCTAAGAGAGTTAAGAAGGACCATAAAAATGAAAGCACCTACCAGAGGTGATCTTATTCAGGGATTGTTGTGGACAGAATTTGTTACTGCATTCTACAAATGTAGATTTGAGGGGTTAAAAGATATTGGTGAAAGGTTTTATTTTGAAAGATATGTTATGACTGAATTTCAGTATTACTGAAAGTGTTTTTAATTAATGGTTTATTTATATACTTTTAAGTGGTCAATGAAAGATTTTTTTATAATTTTAAGTGGTAACCTAGACCACAGTTCAAATGACTGGTTACTTTTTTAAAAGTGGCATCAAAGACCATATTTCTAATGACTGTGACTGTCATTGTGTACTTTTTTTATTTAAGTGGTACCGGAGACCACAGTTCATGACGGTATTTTGCAAATTGGAATATATTTGTGTATGCTTCAATACAAGAGTATTTCTGTTTTAAAATCATTAACTACAGGTGTCATTAATGGCTGAGGTTAATGGTTTAATAGATCTTAGACATAAAAGACATAAGCATACATTGATAGCTCAAGTGTGACTATTTATATTTGCACTTAAAGGAATCAACGAAATATAGGTGTGTCAGCTTACCATAATTCAACAATCTTGTATCCTGGTACAGCTGAAATTATTGAGGTTTTTGGGTACTATGTTCTCTCAAAAGTCTTTATTCTGCAATTAAACCAGAACTTAATTGAAATGTACTAATCAACGTAATGTTAGAGAAATTGTAATATCTTAAATGCTTATGTTGGGACATTTATAGATTATGACGTCAAAAAAACATGACATGAAGTATTTTTCTTGAAACTTATCATTTACTTGAAGAAAAAAATGTCTCGACTGTAAACCTTGATATTTTGACAGGTTGATTTTTTCCTGATTTTAATGATAAAATTTTTGTACTTGGGTTACATTTCCAAGTTGAACAGTAAGTGTGCCATTCACATCCATATTGTTGATTTGTACTAACTATTTTCATGCATCTTATGTGATAGGGAAATATTAAAGCAAAAATAACCCATGTAAAATTTCAATATAGTATCCTATGTTTGTTTTTTTCCATATATGTTGTATTTCTAGCTCATTAATACACACAATGCATACAAGTGCTTCATAATTGGGCTGTATTTTTAGTGTCCATGTTTAAAAGTTCAATATCCTTTCCTACAATTTATACATATTATTTGTTTTTATATGATGCATTCCATGATGATGATTTTCTAGATTATAAGATATTCATGTATGTAGTTATAAGAAATAAGATTGTGTGAAGTATTGTTGTAGAGGATTATTGACATCCAAAGAATAATTTATCAATGGTATTGCATGTCAATAACATATAACAGAAGAAATGTTTACAATGTTTCGGCTTTTTTTTTTTTATTATGTATTCATCATGTTTTCATAATTTCAACTACCTTAGGTTTTGCATAAATAGTGAGCTCAACAGTGTTGTACATTTCGTAAGCAAATTTCTGTTGAGTCACTTTTTAAAACAACCAATAAGTTAAAAAATCTCACAGCTACTTAACTCACTTGTGACAATGTGGCTCCACCTATATGAATGTTTCTGTTTTTAAATGCATCATCTGTAGATTTTAAAGATATTTTTCTTTACTTTATCAAAACACTTTCATATACAATAGCTCTTACTGTATTTGCTATAACACTTTTGTGATGTTCTAACTTTAGTAGAAATCTTGTTAATCAGAGACTGCTGTTTATTTGAATGTTATAAATATAGTTTCAGTCAGGTAAGATGGCTATGATGTATGATTGGTACAATTAATAAAACTTAAGTTTACAAAAAGGTATAAATGATGATTAATGATACTTTAATATAAAGGCTTCTTCAAAGGTACATTATACACATAAGAAGTCAGATATCTATGCTGATCAAGATGTTATTAATCTTTGAGCTAGTGCTGGAAGATCAAGATGTTATTAATCTTTGAGCTAGTGCTGGAAGATCAAGATGTTATTAATCTTTGAGCTAGTGCTGGAAGATCAAGATGTTATTAATCTTTGAGCTAGTGCTGGAAGATCAAGATGTTATTAATCTTTGAGCTAGAGCTGGAAGATCAAGATGTTATTAATCTTTGAGCTAGTGCTGGAAGATCAAGATGTTATTAATCTTTGAGCTAGTGCTGGAAGATCAAGATGTTATTAATCTTTGAGCTAGTGCTGGAAGATCAAGATGTTATTAATCTTTGAGCTAGTGCTGGAAGATCAAGATGTTATTAATCTTTGAGCTAGTGCTGGAAGAAGGCAAAGACTAAAATCATTATCATACAGAACGAATAGAAGGTGATGCAAGATTTTGTTATTTATTAATCATTTCATTTTTTAAAGTGGGATATCTTTGCTGAACACGATGTAAAGCATGTGTCTGGATGTCTCCGCTGCTCATCTTTACCACAAAAGAATTGAATTGCCCCCAAGCTTTTAAACAAGTGATTTAGGAAGTCTGAGACTTTTAAATTTGTATCATACAGATCTAAAAGTTTACCTGTCACACATGGCCATGCAATTTATTATTATTTATTAATCATTTCATTTTTGTCGAGAAAGCGTGACATAGCGATCCTAGATTACGTCAGTGGCAGCAGCGTCAACATTTAGGTTCAGTCTGTAGTCATTTTAAAACATTAATAACTTTGTCAAACCTTCATGGAATTTTATGAAATTTGGACAGAAGCTTGTTTATGACCAAAATACAGTATCCAGAGCAAAATTTTGAAAATATTTATTTTCGTTTTTCCCTATTTTACTGATAAATGGACTTGTTTTTTGTTTTTTTTTACACTTAACATTCAGATTCAGTCTGAGGTTAAAGTTTTTTCAGTCATCAATAACTTTGTCAAATCTTCATGGAATTTTATGAAATTTGGACAGAAGCTCGTTAATGACCAAAAACAGTATCCAGAGCAAAATTTTGAAATTTTTTTCTTCATTTTTCTGTATTTTACTGATAAATGGACTTAGTTTTTTTACAGTTAACAAGTAGATACAGTCTGGGGTTAAAGTTTGTTACACATCAAATACTTTGTCAAACCTGCATAGAATTTTATGAAACTTTGGCAGAAGCTTTTTTATGATTAAGAGATAATGTCTGAAGCAAACTTTTGAAAATATATTTTCATTTTCAGTATTTTCTGATAGATGGACTTAGTTTTTTACAGTTAACATTTACAGACAGTCTGGGATTTAATTTTTTTGACATGATAAGTTTGTAAACCTTCATGGACTGTTATGAAAATTGGACAGAAGCTAATCTTCAAGACCAAGAAATAGCATCTAAAGAAAAAGTTTGAATTTTTTTTGAATTCTGTACTTTACTGATAAATGGACTCACTTTATAAGTCAACATTACACTTTTACACTGACAGCAGCAATCATAGGCGAGATACAGGGTTCCCTTACAAATTTTTTTTAGTTGCATATCTTGGCTGTCAAAATGAATTGCATCTTTGAGCTAGTATTTGAAGAAATCTAGGACTTTTTAAATTTGTATCAGAAAGTCACGTCCACATTACCATGCAAAATATTGTCATTTTAAATCATTTCACATTTCATTTTCTATCATACCAATCATATTTTACATTGGAAAAAGTAGATGTTGTTAATTGAAGTTTTTTTAAACCAGTGCCATTCTAATAAAATACTTGTTTCTGAAGATAGCTCGATAGATGAGTAAATCTTGCTAAAAAAATACTATGAAATATTTATGTCACGCAAAAAATAAAAACAACTAAAACTAAAAAAACAAACAAATGAACAATGAGAGATGTCAAATCAGAGTAAATAGCTATAGTGTTTGTCATATACATTCATCTTAATTAATTTTTTCCCTTTGTTCATGGTTGATTGATTGAGTGCTTGTTTCTTAATGTCCAGTGGCAAATAGTTCATGCATATTCAGGACGGTACAGACTTATGAAAATGGGGGGAACTTTCATATAAAGGCAAACGAGTATAATTAATCATATATGTGCCCATCATGTCAACATATATATTGGCGACAAGTGTTTTTATGATGTTTTGGAAAATGCATTTTTTCTTAAATGTAAACTTGTATACATGTTTGGGCAAATGTTATGAAGACAATGATATGTATTAAATTCTTATATTTATTAAAATTTGTTATGAGGCAAAGGTTTTATTTTGATGAGCCAAAAAGTTTTGGGTATAGGTCCTAAACAGAATGGAAATGGTATGCAATATTATTGATTTTTAGATGAACCTTTACAACCTCGGACTAACACATTTATCTAATAGTCCTAGTTACAACTGGCTGTGCTTGATCAATGTATTAAGTAAATTTTCAAGAACCAGGAACATATATATTGTTAGATATACTGTTCCCAGAAAGAACCATTGTAGATGGAATATAAAATAAGGGGATGTAATATGATTCAGCTGAAGACTAAATGCAGTCTGAAACAAAATGTTGTTAAGGATTACCATCAACTCCCAACTCATTTTAAGTAGACTTAGACAGTGTTATAGTGTTATATACAGTGGTGGATCCAGGGGTGGGTTCCGGCGGGTTTTTTTTTGATGATCGATGCTTTTGAATGGGGATATATGGTTGGAACCCCCCCCCCCCCCCCCCTTTTCAAAAATGGCTGGATCCGCCCCTGATATAATCCCTACATAGTATAGTAGTAAATTCTTGAGTAGATAGAAACCAAGGCCAATAATTTTGTTTACAGTACATATATTGTCTTCTGATTATTGTTTCTTTTGAAAGATATACACGGTCTAAGCTGAAGTGACTTCAAGGGTACAGGTCAGCAACTAGTAAGGCTGAGTTCAAGGGTATAGTTCGTAACCTAATCATGCTGTTTTCAATGGTTCTAGTCAGAACCTGATTAGAAGGAGTACATTTGTACAGGTCAAAACATTGTTAGGCTGAGTCCCAGGGTAAAGGTATACACTGTATCAGCAGTTAACTGAGTTCAAGAGTACTGGTCAAAACATAGTCATGGTAAGTTCAATGCTATACAATATAAAAATAAGGGGAGATGTGGTATGATTGCCAATGAGACAACTATCCACCACTAATCTTAGCTGAAATTGATGGTGCAGGTCAAAACCTAGTCCGGCCGATTTCAATGATACTATTGACAGGTCAAAACCTACTCTGAATGATTTCAATAAAACAGGTCAAAGCCTAGTCCGGCCGATTTCAGTTGTACTAGTGACAGGTCAAAACCTACTCAGAACTATTTCAAGAGAACAGTTAATCTGATTATGGTCTAATCATGATTAGATTAATCACCTGCTTGTTAATCCAATTAATTAATTATGAACGTGATCTGTGATCAGCTATTATTAAAGAATGATTATTTATGATAAACAATATATTGATATTTATGGGCTTCTACAAGCTGTATTGAACTCTTCTTCAAAGGTGAACATTGGTTACCTACAGTTATAAATATATTACACATTTCGAGTCTCTTTCAAAAGTTTTCATATAGTGCTATCATACATACAACCTCAGTGCTTTTTATTCGTATTGATATATTGATTCAGTTCTAATTTTCTTTGTATATAAATCTCTTTACTTTAGTTTAGTGTAATTAGTTGTAAAAAAATTGTAAATATATTTCTGTGTTTTTGTTCATTTTATAATTTTATAATTCTAATCATGTCTTCATTTCCAGTGCTGATTGCTGGCCATTCCCAGGCCAAGTATTTTGAGCAATATTTATCTTTATCAAAAACTAATGTGCTTTCTTATTCAGGTTTCCGTATTGACCAGATGTTCAGCAAACTACAACCAACCATTGACAACTACAACACCGTGGTACTTCACGTGGGCGCCAACGACCTCTCCCGTGGTTCATCAGTAAAGACTTTACTCAGGAAGTATCAACAACTGACATCAGACATTTGGAACACCAACCCAACAACAGACATCATCATATCTGGTATCCTACCCAGAGCCGACAACCAATTCCCAGGGGCACTTCTACGCACCAACTACCTAACAGAACTCAATCAGAGAGCTCGGCTACTCAATACCAAACTACAGTCACTAGCTACCCGAGTACCAAGACTCCATTACGTTGGTCACCCGTCATTCGCCCAGAGAGGTACTGTTCAGAGACACCTACTCAGTCGAGATGGTCTTCATCTAAGCTACCGTGGTACATCAACTGTGGTGAAAGAAATCGAGAGCGCCATTCGTCACCTACGCAAAACCAAGGTTACTCATGACAGCATCTGGGACCTACCAACGCCAACACCAAAAGCACCTACACCAATGCCTGACCCGACTGAACCAGCTGTAGACCAATCACCGTACCGAACTGCACTACTCACTTTACCAACACCAACACCAACACCAACTTCGACAGGTATTCAGGTGATTGAAGAGTGGCCTGCTCTTCCAAGGGTATGTTATCTGGTATCTTCTCTTAACACTTCAACTACCTCTAACACTGTGCATGTTCCTACCACCACGTCCTCACCTGTTCCTGCTTGTTATTTGACATGTTTAATCACACATTAACTAAATAAACAAAAATTGATTGAAATAATAAAAAAAGATAGGTAAGTTAACACTCCAATTTGTGATAACGGTAATTAATATAAGTGTGATTAAATTTTAATTGTTCATATCACATTCTTTTGACTTCATTCTGTACATCTTTTTCATTTTAATTTTTATAAATGTAGGAAATAGTGCATGTACTTAGTTATCTAAATCATCATTCATAAAGGTATCTGATCATAAATCACTTCTATAATTATTTAATTTGGTTTAATAAATCAGTAATTAGTTTAATTATTTACACTTAATCAAATTTATAGAATTATGAAAGTAGGGGTAAACAGTACTCACCGTCAGCAACCTATACTCATATTTATCATATCATTTCATTTTAACAAAAATATTTTGCTTTGTGTGTTGTGTTTCTTGAGGGGATTGGATAAATGTATTTTCATGATTATACAAGGTAAGAATTAAAACCGTTTGTGTGAAAGTTTGATGGGGGGTAATATGTGGTCAGATCAAGTTTCATGTTGCTTAAAAATAAAAAGTGCACATTCTTTCTTAACTCTATTTAACAAAAAAAATAAATATTAATATAGTTTAAAGATCAATCTTTTGAGAGAAAAAAAACCCAGTTAATTGTCTTTTTTCATCGGTCAGGACATTGGCGAGGACAAGGTATACATTGGTCAGGTCAAGTTTTTTATTACCTTTAAATATTTTTTTTCATTTTTTTTTTATATTCTTATAATAAATGTTATAATCTTCCTTGATACCAAACTTGATAATATCCCTTTCAACAACAAAAAAGTTATTGGCATTTTTATATCGGTCAGGACATTCGTCATGGCAAAGACCAAGTCGGTCAGGTCAAGTTTTCTACCATTTCAAAAGCTAAAAAACATTTTTTTTTCTTAAATTCTTATATTAAATGTTATAATCTTCCTTGGTAGTGAATTTGAAGTAAATTCTTTCATTAAAAAGTAAGTTATTAGCATTTTCTTATCGGTCAGGACATTAGTCAGGGCAGTGTCGACGTTGGTCAGGTCAAGTTTTCTAACTCTTTAAATTATTTTTTTCAATTTTTTTTCTTATATTTCTATATTTAATGTTATAATCTTCCTTGATATCAAATTTGAAGTCGATCCTTTGAAGAACAAAAAAGTTATTAGTATTTTTCATATCGGTCAGGACATTAGTCAGGACATTGGTCAGGACATTAGTGTAACCCCCAATGTACAGGTTTTCTCTTTGGTGCGTTTTTCTCGGCGTATTTTCTTCTCTGTGCTTTAATTTAGTATGCGCTGGTTAAGATTGGGATTGAGGAACAGCAGTATCAAATCTGCCTGTTCTGTCAATGTAATGTGCCACTGTTTGTAGTTTTGCTTTTGTCTCTTCGGTGTTCTCGCCGTCTAGATTCGTTAGCATAGTAGCTAAATTCAGGTTTCTGATCCCGACCTCTTTGGATATTTGTTGTAACATATCTGCTCGTTCGTTCTCATAGCAGGGACACTCCAGAAGGAAATGGTGAGGTGTTTCAGGTGCTCCACAGTTGCATGATTCTATGCCGTTGGTTTGGCCTACTCGGTTCTTGTAGTAGTTGAGTTCTGTATAGCCAGTTCTTAGTTGGGCGAATATACTGAAATGTCTTTTAGTGGGAAAATCATACATAATTGAGTGTTTCGTAGTTGGTATTTTTTCGTAAAGGTCCCTGCCTCTCTCAGATATTTCCCATCTTCTCTGCCATTTTTCTCCTGTACTTTTATAGGCTGCCTGTTTGACGTCCTGTAGTGTTATGACGTTATTTTCCGGTGGTAGTTCTTTTGCTTCCTGTGCTGCTGTTTTTGCAAGGATGTCAGCCTCGTCATTGCCAGCTATATTGGCATGTCCTGGTGTCCATGATATGATTACATTTAGTCCTTTTTGCCTAGGATGCTCAATGTTTTCTTTTATTTCTCTTATTACGGAGATGTAGCTATTTGGGGCCCAGTTCAGTGGTAGTAATCCCACGGCGCTTTGACTGTCAGAGAAAATTTTGATTTTTTGTATTGTGTTGTACATATTTTCTGTAATGCAGTATTCAAGGACCATGAGAATCGCTATGAGTTCCGCCAGGAGGATGGATCCTCTTTGTGCCACAGGTCTGTGTAGTCTTGCAGCAGGTTTAATGTGTTCAGCATAAATAATTGCTCCTGCTCCACAGGGTCCTGGGTTCCCTAAGCATGATCCATCTGTGAACGATATTGCTTGTTCTTGTGCGCAATCTCCCATGAGTTGGTTAATGGTTTCCTGGCAAAGTTCTTGTTGCTCACTTGTCCTTGATTTTGAGTTGCCTAGTCGACTCCAATATGAAGGTTTTGATTGGGTCATTTGAGTTTCTCCCAGTCTGTAGGTAAACTCAGGTTCTATGAGATTGATGTTAATCTTCGTCTGTTTGTCCATTTCTGCTGCTTGGCTTAGTGCTTTGCCCATTGGTGTTGGGTACTTGTCATAGGTGTCCTGATCTTCATACCTCACAAGTTGCTGTTTGATGGGTTCCTGTGCAGATTTGGATTTAATCTTTGCTATCTCTTTTATGGCTATTTGTTCTAGCCTAAGGTCTATTGGCATAACTCCTGTTTCGACTTCTAGTGCTTCTCTGCCAGAT